GACTACATCCCCCATCACCCTGGGAGCAAGGCTGATGGGAGCTGATGTCCAGCAGGTTCTCTATCACTGAATAAAATGGTAACATCCCCACTTGCACTAGGTTTGTAATGTTTCAGAAACTTAAGCCCTTGGATTTATGGTAGCAGCAGTAACATTTCTGTGTCTGTTTAATAAACGTGGTTATGCACACCCAGTGCTGGATTTACATATAAGCTAAACAAGCTATAGCTTAGGGCCCCACTCTCTTGGCCTCCCCCCAAAAATAAAAAACCAACAACTGGATGTACATTTCCAAAATATAAGATAAAAAACAAATAAAATAAAACCTACATACAGCAACAACAATTTTTGTTGTTGTTGACAAAGGACAGCTGGATATATAAATGGCCCCATTACCTTCAGTAGGGTCTCATCAAACCTCATCCGGCCCTGTGCACACCTGAAGCTCTGGTGAGTGATTTCAGGGGTGCCAGAACATCTCTCAGGTTAAGTTTATTTAGGATGAAGCTGACTTAAAACTGTTGTGTTGCCTTTTTTGTGATGTATGGTTTTATTTACACACATATACAGGCTGAGTAGAAGACAAACGGCCTCACAGCATTTACACTGCGATAGATAATAGTCTCCTCCCTCAGCTTTCCAGGCAGGCTCCTTAATGCCCTAGCACTGGATCCTCACAGAGAGCAAAACCATGTCCCTTTTGTGTTTGCAAGTCCAGCTCCAAGATAAGACTGAATATTCTTCTTTCACACTCACTCCCAGCCAGTGGGGGAATGGGGAAAAAGCTGAACTCCGATTCCTAAATGGCTCTCTCCTTTCAAAATCACTTAAGGCTATTGGCTGCTTTTCTAGAACCATCAAAGTAACCTCCAGCATCTCTGCTTGTTCCTATTGGAGCAATCCAAAGTGTAGGATGTCGGCGAAATTTACAGCTGCTCAAATTAAGCTGGTGTAAATTATTCTTGTTCCAAACTCTGTTCAGAGGTGTGGCTGCTGCCACGTGAGCCAGGTCTAAGCCTGGCCGAGGGAAAACAAGCTTTTACAATAGAGTCTGACTCACACCACCCTTCTTCTTCTTCTTCTTCTTCTTCTTCTTCTTCTTCTTCGGTGATCACTCATAGCCAAGTAAGATTGTCTTCCATAAACACAGTTTTTACAGTGAGTCCATAAGTGATTGTGGAGGCCAATTCTGGATCCACACGTCCTTCCACAGTGGGGACATAGGTTTCCGGGTGGGAGTTGATCACGGTGAGGGTTTGCCAAGCATGCCTTCCTCTTAGCACATTTCTCCTTTTCGTCCTGCGTTCAAGTGCCTTCAAAGTCCATGACACCTTTGGTAAAGGCTGTTCTCCAACTGGCGCGCTCGCAGGCCAGTGTTTCCCAGTTGCCAGTGTTTATACTGCATTTTTAAAGATTTGCCTTGAGAGAGTCTTTAAACCTCTTTTGTTGACCACCAGTATTATGCTTTCCATTTTTAAGTTCAGAATAGAGTAGTTGCTTTGGAAGATGATAATCAGGCATCCGCACAACATGACCAGTCCAACGAAGTTGATGTTGAAGAATCATTGCTTTGACACTGGTGATCTTTGCTTCTTCCAGTACACTGACATTAGTTCGCCCGTCTTCCCAAGTGATGTGTAAAAATTTTCGGAGACACCGTTGATGGAATCTTTCGAGGAGTTGGAGATGGCGTTTATAAGTGGTCCACATTTCACAAGCATACAGCTATGGTAGTTCCATAGCTTTGTAAACAAGCATTTTGGTTTTCCTGTGAATGTCCCAGTCCTCAAGCACTCTGCACTTCAATTGGGAGAAAGCTGCACTCGCAGAGCTCAGGCGATGCTGGATTTTGGCATCAATGTCAGGGATGCCAGGTCACATGACTGAGCTGAAGAGAGTTAGGGCAGCGGTCCCAATCCTGCCACTCCCCCAGAATGGAACACCCATGATTGTAATCATGCCATAATGCCTGAGAAGGATTAAAATTATTTATTGGATATTTTTATACCTCATGCTTCTTCCAATCTGGAGCACAGGGCGTCTTTGCATAAGAAAACATTAAATACCACTAGTACCGATAGGAGTGGAATAGGAGTGTGCCTCCCTTTCTCTTCTCACTGAGCCAAAATAGGGGAAAAACCCATGCCAGCTACCAATACCTAATTTTTACAACAGGTGAATCTGTTTCAAAAAATACATTTTATTAAAATGCCCAGCTAACATACCCTGTTGACTGTGAATATTCAACAGCTCTGCACTTCCGTTTTTGTCTTAGCTCTCCGTGACTGTAAAATATTAAACAAGGGCAGAGCATAACCTTTTGCACAATCCAGAACCAGTCCAAGCCAGAATTATTTCAGAAAGCACATCATCATTGGCTCAGTGCATAGTTTAGACAGTCTGCCCACAATGTTCATTACATTACAGGCTTCGCAGGAAGTAAAAGAAACTCTCTCTCTTTTTTTATAGCTTTATTCAGACTTTTCAAAATACAATAATACAGAGAATATTATAGATAGTAATAAAGGTATAAAGAGAGAAAGAAAGATAAAACAGAAAGAAATAGGTAAAAAAGACTTTCAACATTTACAATAATTCTTCAGAATACTCAAATGTTCCATCTAGATTAATATCCAGCAGTTCCTCCCTCTGTAAGGTGATATTTTTCCAGTCATCAATCCAGGACTCTCCAGTTCATTGATTTCTTTCAATACAAGAAGTTCAAAGGAGATTCTTCTATAGTTTTTATATATAATAGTCCACAACAGTTGTCTAGTCCAACATCATATTACCTCCAATAGCGTATTAAGAAACATTCAATCCTTATTTCTTATTTCCTCCAAATTTCTTCACTGTGTTTATGTATTAGGATATCAACCCATAATTATTTATTATACAATCCTTAATTCACACCTAAGTCAACACCTTCCAATCTCATTTCCTGTCAACCATGTTTATCAATACTTTAAAATAATAATTCAAATTTCCACCTCTCCCTTTTCCAATATTTTCCCAGAAAAGTTGCAAGAAACTCTCATGTGGTGTCAGGAAGGGTGTTTCTGAGATGTTCAGTAAGTGAGGCACTTGTCTCATGAACTCATTCTTCACAGTTTCCATATATTGTTGCCTTCGCCATTATCTGCAGTTCAATTCAATAAATAAACAAACAAACAAACCAGGGGAGACCATTAGCTTCAAAAGGCCTGCCAGCCAGATGAATGGCATCAATCCCTTCCCCCACATAAAATGATGAAACTGATGGAGAATTCCAGAGAGCTCAAAAGCTTGCATACTATTTTGTGATTTTTGATTGGTTTAAGAAAGATATTGCCCTAATATGAGTTTTCAACAGTCACATTAGTGGTCAGAATATTCATTGGTAAAATATGCTTTTGCACTGCATTTTTAAAAAATATCCAACAGGAAAAGGGTTCATTCATGAAACCTGCTGGCTGGCCCTGGGCACGTTATCATCCCTCATAGGAACATTGGAATCATATACCAAGTCAAACCATCGGTCCATCTTCCTCAGTACGTACTGTTTATATGGACTGGCTGCAGCTCTCCGTGGTTTCAGTCTAGAGACATTCTCAGACCTGCCTGGAGTTGCCAGCGATTCAACCTGGAGTTTCCCCCTGCAAGCAGAAGTTCTGTCATTGAGCTGTGGCCCTTCCCCACATCTAAACTTATCTCAAAGAGGCATTGTGAACGTCAACTGAATCTCATATGCATTGCTTTGAGCTTGCTGGAAGTAATCTCTATGGCCACTAGATGGCACAGCTGTTTGGAAATACAGTGGTACCTCGGGTTAAGTACTTAATTCGTTCTGGAGGTCTGTTCTTAACCTGAAACTGTTCTTAACCTTAAGCACCACTTTAGCTAATGGGGCCTCCTGCTGCTGCTGCGCTGCCGCTGCATGATTTCTGTTCTCATCCTGAAGCAAAATTCTTAACCCGAGGTAATATTTCTGGGTTGGCGAGGTCTGTAGTGGGTTAAACCACAGAGCCTAGGACTTGCCGATCAGAAGGTCGGCGGTTCAAATCCCTGTGATGGGGTGAGCTCCCATTGCTCGGTCCCTGCTCCTGCCAACCTAGCAGTTTGAAAGCACGTCAAAGTGCAAGTAGATAGATAGGTACCGCTCCGGAGGGAAGGTAAATGGTGTTTCCGTGCGCTGCTCTGGTTCGCCAGAAGCGGCCTAGTCATGCTGGCCACATGACCCGGAAGCTGTATGCCGGCTCCCTCGGCCAATAAAGCGAGATGAGTGCCGCAACCCCAGAGTCGGCCATGACTGGACCTAATGGTCAGGGGTCCCTTTACCTTTACCTAACCTGAAGCATATGTAACCTGAAGCGTATGTAACCCGAGGTACCACTTTAACTGGGGAATGCCAATTAATCCTGATGTCCCCCATGGGAAACTATGAAATTAAAAATGGCTGACTGCCTGAATTCAAAAAGCGCTGGACTTGTCTCACTCTGTAGCCAAAAGAGCCCCCAAGCAGAGTTTAAAGCTGAAATATATGCAATGTTTGCAAAGTGGGGAAATACCGGTTGTTACATCTGTAAATATTCCAGTATTAAGCATTCACAATGTGCTCCACCACCTCTACCCCTCTCACAGTGAATATACCACAAATTGAAGTAAGTTCAAATGCTTTATTTACAGTAACCAGAGGTCTTACTGATGCATCATTCAACGCCACATCAGAAACAGGTAAAACGTTTTTAAAGCACAAACTACAAAAAGTATCTTCAAACATGGAGTCTGGGCACAAACTGCCAGCATCATGCGTCTGGTCAGTTACATGGTTCAAAGTGTAGAGGGAGAGAAAGGAATAGGAAACAAGGCTTACTTCCTCCCTCCCCAAAGGTGAGGCGGCATCACCTAGCCAAGCCTTCTCTAGCAGTTCACAGCTCTGTGGTCCTTAACCCCTTCATTTACTAACTAGCATAGACACGCATTGTTAGGTCTGACTGAAAATGTCCCACAACGGTTGCTTCATTAAACTTTCACTAGCTCTGTTTGCAACTTAGGAATGAGCGAGCCCAAGGCTTCCAATATCAGGCTGCTAAGGCCATTGTGAGATGACCTCCACTGTGACGTCACCCCCCTGCTAACTCACCGGACAGGTAAGCCTCAGAGCATTGCTGGACCTGCTTCCTGGAAGCTAGCCAGCTACCTGCTCATATTTATTGATATTGCTCAAAAAGGAAGAACCATATCAACGAACATGTAAGTAGGACTTTTCTCCCACAGCTTCTGCATTGTGCTTGTCTCATCGTTTATGATGGTTCATGCCAGTCCCTCACAGGGGGTAGGGGGCTATTTCTTCCCTAGCTAAGATTGGCTTTCTCAGTCAGGACCATGGTAAACACAGCAGCTGCCCCCTTTTAGCCCCTGCCTCTGGGCTTGAGGAAAACACTCCCTTCCCAGGACAGTTGGAGATACCAGCTTGCTGGCAATCTGAACCATTTTAAGATCAAGAAGATGCAAATAGCTACCGGTGACAAGTGGGAATTCATGTCACATCTTGAACCTTGACGTGGCTCAGGGGCACTGCAGTCATGTAACAGGGGAGGAGTCTGCGAGTCTCATTTCTCACCTATTTCCTCATTTTGCTCTAGGCTTCAACGACTGCAATCCTTATTGAAAAAGAACAGCAAAGTCACCCCGCAGACTCCAGTGGAAGGGGGACCAATTCCTTCCCTGGAAGTATGGGAAGACCATGGCGAAAGGGTACAGTCTTCCCCACCTGGCTGCCAACACAGTGAAACACATTCCCCGTACGAATTTGGAGCTTCCTACTAGGCGCTTATGGGCGTGGTGGGTGCCATTTATGTTGGCTTCCATCTCCAGCGTGAGGAGGCACCTGGGCTGTTTCAGGCAAGCCGTCAAAGATCTCTTCCCATCACTTTAATGGCTTCTTGCCTTTTATAACTTCCAGGGGATCGGCATGGCCATCAATTTCTTAGCAGCAATAGAAGCAGAAAGGAAGCCCATCATGGCAAAGGAGGACCTTGCTAAGAAGATAGTGGTGAGTGAGGTAGTACTTTGAGAAGGTATCACCCACAGGGTGGATAGGAGAGATCTTAGCAGTGGATTTTCTGCAAGATATTCTGGTGGTGGGTAAGGCTAGTGCACGGCAGAGAAGAGAACATTGGAAATGGAGGACCTGCATGTCTAGAACCTCTCTCTGTGGAGAGGTCTATGTATAACATGTGGGTGCCTGGGATATGTGGCCTCTTTTGCACATGGAAACCCCTTCACATTGATACTGTACAGACATGGGTTTTGTGGAGTTGCATTTCATGCTTGATAACTTGCTTGCATGTCCAATATCAAGAAAACAGCTCAAAGTCAGCTGGTGGTGAAGTTATGAGTAAACTACTTTAGGGAGCTGAGAGGAACTACGTGCAGCTGATTTCCATTTCTTCTGTCCCCCCACCCATCTCTTCAAGGGCCTGATGGAGCGATACAAAGACCATCCCCTTGCCTTTTTCATTTTTACCAGCTGCATGAATGCAATCGCAAATCTGAGGTAAGTTGTGGTAGGAGTCTGGTGGAACAGGAGATATTTTTCCCCACGCCACAGAGCAGTCAGAAGCAAAGGAAAAGGACTGGAGTGAGCAAATGCACCACAAAGAAGCAGATTGTGCTCCACTAGCCACAAACCCTGGCAAATCAGCAAGTGGGTGAGCAAGGATCTGAGGATTATTGGCTCTGAGGAGGTTCTGGGAAGAGCTTTTGACTCTCCTAACAACCCTCCACAGGTCCTTTAGAGAAGTTGGCCTCAGGCCGGCTAGGGGGAATTGCCCTGTTTCTAAGTAGACGTGCTTCAAATAGACTGTGCTATAAATGTGCTTGCCTTGCAGCCTAGGAAAATGATATTCTGATGATCCCTTTCTCTTTTCCTTTCATCATCAATGGGAAAGCCTCTGCCATTAGAACAACTACGCTTGCAAGTTTCCATCCCCTTGGCAGAGTTTGGATCCAGAAAGGCTCTTTCCAAGAGCAACTTTCCTATAGGTTCCTACATTATGGGTGCATCAGTTGTTTTGGCAAACAGTGTGGTAAAAAAATCCATCACATGTTTGCAGATTCATCATCCCGCATGCATGTGGGGTGAGATTTTCTGCTACTTTTTTTTTAGGGTGGGTAAGGATCCCTCCCCCTGAACTTACAAGGACCGATGACTGACCTTACTTAACTTAAATAATAGCAGAGATTTCCCCCCCCCCCTTTTCCTTTATTATCCATTTCAAATAAAGTTCTGCCTTCGCTGCTGACTAGACAAAACTCCTAGAAGCTTCCCAGTCCACCTGAGCTTTCTCAAATACCACAGATGCAAGGAAGTCTGGCTGGGCTGGGAGGCTGTGGGCAGACTCCTGCTGCCATGGGAACTGCAACCTTGTTTATGATAGTTATAAACAGGTACAGAAACCAACAAACACCTTGAGGTTTTCTTTTTCCTTTTTGGAGTAAATTGTACCAATTCCTCTGAAATGTCACCCGAATGTGCATATCTTTTCCCCTCTGGTTCTCAGGGATACCTTCTTTTGGGCTGGATGATGGAGCCAAGCTCAACTTCAGCTAAACCTGATGAATATTCCCTCCATCACATAATAGAATCCTGGTTTTTCCTCCCCCCTTACAGCAGAAGCAGCCCTCCGCTCTCAGAGAAACTAGAGGCGAAGCTGCTCCAAGTCACTCTGGCACGCCTCATTATAAAGAGCACAGAAAGTGAAGCGGTTTGCGACAAGGTAAATTCTTACTGAATTTCAACAGTCTTGAAAAACACCTGCTGTGTCTGTGGTCACCAATCCCTTGTCTCTGAGCTGAACCACTAAGGCACATTTCGTCTTGAGCAATGCACAGACTTCTGCATTTCAGATGAAGCAAGAGGAGGCATTATGATAACAAGCCCACCTTTGTACCCTCTGTGCATGGATCCCCTTTCCAAAGGAGGAACTGTCTTAGACAGTCTGAGCGAAAAGGCTCTGCATAGTTCCTTTTCTGCCTGCTCTGTTTGGGGATGGAGATCTGCTATGTAGCAATGACGTTGCTTGTTTTCTGTTGCTTGCAGGCCCTTTGCAGAGGAGCCTCTGAAGCCCTGGGTGCAATGCTCAAGGGGCTACTTTCAGAGGCCCCCACAATGCACCACCTTCTGAAGATCTTGGAGGTGAGTGTTGAATGTTGAGTCTCTATTCCTTTCAAGTGTGGTGTGCTGATGGACAGACTGCCTACCCTCCAACATTTCTTCAATGAAAATAAGAGACTTCCCCTCCAACATTTCTCCAGTGAAAACAGGGACATCCTAAGGGAAAGCGGGACATTCCAGGATCAAATGTGAAACCGCGACAGCTTATGTAAACCCGGGACTGTCCCTGGACTGGCAGGGACATCTTACCACTGGGGGGGGGGGGGGTATTTCATTAGTGAAATTGTTCCCTATGGGGCTGTGTCTCTTTGGCTGGATGACTAGACCCAGTGCTTTTTTTCTTAAAAAAATGTTTAGGGGTGCTCTCATTTTCCTACTCATATTGAAATACTGCCCCTCAACGAGGTCAAACTTAGAGTCACAAAATGTTTAGGGGAATGCGTACTCCTGTGTACCCCCAGAAAAAAGCACTGACTAGACCTCTTACAAAATGCATTCAGCAAGCTCAGTATGTTTTGAGCCAGTTTAACTGTTCTCCAGAATGTCTGCAGAATTGCTGCATTTTCTGGAAAACAAAGTCCATGTAAAGGCAAAGGACCCCTGGCAGTTAAGTCCAGTCGCAAAGGACTCTGGGGTTGCGGCACTCATCTCGCTTTACTGGCCAAGGGAGCCGATGTTTGTCCGCAGACAGTTTTTCCAGGTGATGTGTCCAGCATGACTAAGCCGCTTCTGGCGAATCAGAGCAGCGCACAGAAATGCCGTTTACCTTCCTGCCGGAGCGGTACCTATTTATCTAAATGCACTTTGACGTGCTTTCGAACTGCTAGGTCCATGTAGAGTTCTTTAAAATCAGGCACAGCTCTCAAAGAGCACGATAATGGACTTGGGAGATTTTTTTGGCCTGTGCAATGCTTTTTCCTTCCTCAGCACTTCCAACAGTACATGAGGTCTTCAGACCGGCTAGAGAAGGCCCAGGCCATCAAAGCCACCAATTATATTTGCTTGGAAGCCTATTACAGTCTCGGCCTGCATTACGATGTGAGTATTCAACATGTGAGTGGAGCTTGGCATTAGAAGTCCGCAGAACCCTGGGATGGGAGGAAAGAAGAAGGACCAGAGAACATTTCCTCCCAATCTCCACTGGAGGTTCTCCTTCCTGAAGATGGCCTTGTGGGGCCTTAAGACTAAAGGGGAAAGAAGCTGAATTCCTTGGTGGATCTGGGCGGCGGCGGCGGGGGGGGGGGGGGGAGAAGTAATGAAAGAAGCTCACTTTGATGGCTCTGACTGTGGGATTTTATCTATCTTTCCAGCTTCATGAAATGCGGGAGCATCTCAGCCGATTATGGAGGAGCAGCAAGATCAAGCAGAAATAGCCTCTTCCTGTTGTCTCTTCCTTTCTCTTCCTTTCTTGATCCCACCTAGAGGTGCTAACTGGATTTCCTGGGTCCAGCGCTGTGTAGGCCGATCAAGCCCATTTCCACCTCTGCAAACTGTATATATGCTGTTTATGTACAGATATTGATGTACAAATATGGAACATTATTTAGAGCCTGTATTGTGGATTGAAGATGGTTTGTTTTAAGATTGTTTTAGCCTGCCTTTCAGGCAAAATATACAAAATATATAAGTGCATGCAGTTTCAAAGCTCTTATGTTCTTATTAGAACTTGCGCAGATCCAATGAAGCAGTTCAAGCAGCCTCTTGCATTCTTAAATTAGTTCAACGTGAACTTCGCTGGTTTAACCAGCTTCCAGTTGGTTAAACGTCCAGCTTTATGTATCAAATAAGCAGTGCTACTTGAGCCATCAGATGCAAATTGGTCATTTTGTGTGTATTCGGTTTGTATACATCTCCTCACCACTAGATGTCATTATTACTGCAATTTTATGTCTGCTGTTTAGTTTTCACTGTGAGACTGCATCTGCACTGTTTGCAGTCCACTCACTGCATTCCCAGTACAGTGGTAACTCGGGTTAAGAACTTAATTCGTTCCGAAGGTCCGTTCTTAACCTGAAACTGTTCTTAACCTAAAGCACCACTTTAGCTAATGGGGCCTCCCGCTGCCGCCGCCGTGCAATTTCTGTTCTCATCCTGAAGCAAAGTTCTTAACCCGAGGTACTATTTCTGGGTTAGCGGAGTCTGTAACCTGAAGTATCTGTAACCTGAAGCGTCTGTAACCCGAGGTACCACTGTACAGGGTTTTAGATTTGTGTTCACACAGACATTATCCAGAATGCATACATACAGTGGTACCTCGGGTTACATACGCTTCAGGTTGCATACGCTTCAGGTTGCATACGCTTCAGGTTACACACTCCGCTAACCTAGAAATAATGCTTCAGGTTAAGAACTTTGCTTCAGGATAAGAACAGAAATCGGGCTCCAGCGGCGCAGTGGCAGCAGGAGGCCCCATTAGCTAAAACGGTGCTTCAGGTTAAGAACAGTTTCAGGTTAAGTATGGACCTCCGGAACAAATTAAGTTCTTTAACCCGAGGTACCACTGTATTCTGTTGTTTGTCGTAAAATACTACTGCTTGGGAGACATTGTTTCTCAGTACAGCTTCCCACTGATTGGAGCTTTTGAACCATTCCTAATTCGTTGCTAGCCAGGACACAAGCAACTTTGCATAGGATAAAGACATCGCCGCCTCATCAGTGCCCACTGATGTATAGACACAAACAGAAACAAATCTGACACTAATGAATCCATGCTGATGTGGACAGCTTTGGAGGAGGAGACAGAAGAGCTGTCAAGAACCCTGACCCCCCCCCCCAATAAATTTCACTGCGCTCTAAGGAGGTAACATGAAGACATCCTATGAGGAAATGATTTGGAGTTTTATTTCTGAATTCATTTTGTCTGTGCTTGTGTGCTTAGTGTAGATCTGCTAATCACGGCTATATGTTATCTCTACTATGAGAGGCAATGTGCCTCTGATTGCTAGTTGCTGGGGAGCAACACAGAGGGAAGGCTATTGTCCCCATGCCTGCTTTTAGGCTTCCAGAGTTATTTGGTTGGCCATCGTAGAAAGAGAATGCCAGGCCGATCCAGCAGGAGAATCTTCTTAATATTACTGCCCAGCCAGATATCAGTAATGCATAATCAAAACAACCCCAGTATTTTTTTCCAGGCTAATCTGGGATATCTGATGAATCAGTGTGGATGCTAGTCTGTACTATATTGCTAGTATAGTTCTGCTTCTCGGCCCTTTTAGCTGGCCTTTAAAACACAGGAGCGAGTGAAAGGATAAATGTACCCAGGGAGCAATGAAGAGGACAAAGCAGCTATGGAAACTGAGAGTATCGCTGACAAAGGTTTAGTGTGGAAACCAGGGCAAAGGGCCAATTCAGAATTTCAGGGCCGGCTGAAATAAATCAGATTCTGAACAGACATAATCCAGCTACAGATGAATAAACAGCACTTGAATGAAAAAACGGACTCGTTCAAGGGTGGAGGAGGAGAGATCCCATGATGAGATTCCCGAGAGAGATGGCAGTAAAAAAAAGAACTGTGTAAAATATAAGCAAATACTCCTACACAGACCTACAGGAAAACGGGATAGTTTAGCAACTTAGATCCAACTCAGAGTGAAGGACCCATTTTAATTAAAACAGAGTAGCAGGGCACAAAAATTATTTCTCACCATATTAGACACAGAAGAGAGGTTGGCGATAGCTCATCATAGGAGCCAACTCCTAGGGGCTGAGGGAGCTTTGCTCCCCATAAAATATTTGAGCCCCCCTTCAAGTTGATGGGCATTGCCATTCAAGTGGTGTGCACGAACCATGTCATATGATCAATTATGTGGGGTGGAGCTTACCTCCCCCCCAATATTTTATTCAAGTTGGCACCCCTGTAGTTCATTATCAGTTTATGACCACCCCCATGCACCAGCCATACTATGATGTTTAGCAGACAAAGGACAGTATTCAACACTAGGCCTACTCAGAGTAAACCCATTGAAATTAATGGGCATAGCTAATTTGGGTTTATTGAGGTCTACTTTGAGTGAAACTTAGCTGGCTGCAAGCCAAAAGAGCAACAAAGATGTGTGGAGCTCCCAGTTAGTTCCCTAAGTTTAGCTGCTGCCTGTCTGCCTGTCTTTATGGCTCAGAAACCTTCGCTTTGTGTCCCTGGCTAGGGGCAACCCTGCTGTGGCCTGGAAATGCCTGATTTCCTCCTTGCTTTGGGGCTTAATCTATTGCCGAAGTTTTCACCCCCTCTCATTTGTTTCAGCCGAGTAAGTAAGGCTATGCAACAAGCCTCCCACTATCTTTTGTCCTCCCCTTTCCTGCCTTATCCTTTATATTTCTCCTTCTCTGTCCAACCTTGCAACAAAGAGTTCATCAACTGACGTGTCTTTTGCCTTTCTCTAAATAAATACACTCCTGTTTTTGGATCAAATTCTGAAGTCCCATCTTGGTCGTTTGTTTGTAGCAGCTCCACGGTGAGACACCACTATCTAAACCGAGGAACCTATGTTATGCACTCCAGATTCTGTTAATCTGGCGGCTAGGATAGTTTCTTAGCCATCTCTATGCTATGGAAGGTGGTCTGGCAAGAAAACCCCCAGCTCTGCAGAGGGAAGACGTTTGCCTCGTACTACCTCATTCCGCAGCGATTCATTATTTCTAAAGCAGTGGTGCAGCTAGGGGAGCTTTAGACTCTAGACAATTAAGACAATTGTCTTAGGGTGGCTCCAGTGGCGTAGCTAGCTGCTAGGGCACCCAGGGCAGCGCAAATGCCCTGCACCTGGGGCGGGGCAAGCTGGGGCAGAGCACGCTGCGTAGAACCTCCACAGAGTCTGCAAGCACCACATTGCTGTTTCGGGCGGAGCCTGCAGGTGTCTGAGCCATCACATCACTCCCCAGGACCAGGACATGTGGACCAGGCCCTGCGATCACCCCCCTCAGTGTTGACACCCGGGGCAGTCTGCACCCACCGCAGTCCCTTCCTACGCCACCAAGTGGCTCCTCTTTTTAAAGATAATATGTATTGCTTTATGTATTTGAAAAGTATTATCATGACCACCATCATTATTAGTCAGTGTCCAGATGTACAAATAAGGCAGCACAAAGCATCTGTGGAATCCACATCCCTTTCAGACCTAAGGTATCCCAACTGGGACTTGCAACGAAACACTGAGGCTTGATGTTCCTGTTCAATGTTCAATCCTCCATTTCCTCCTCTTGGTTTTCTACCTCCCTCCTTATTTTTGAATGGTGCCATTTTGGTGCCATAGATAGCATCTCTCAAAGAATATTGGTAATGGATGGATTCTCTCTCTCTCTCTCTCTCTCTCTCTCTCACACACACACACACACACACAGAGAGAGAGAGAGAGAGAGAGACAGAGAGAGACTCTTTCAGACAAAATATTGTTGTCTTGATTGTCCAAGGGGTCAAGCTGCAAATTCAATATATCTGAAAGTTCTTGGGAGCATGCAGAGATTATGCTCAGCAAACAACTGGAACCACTAAATGAAAGAAAATAAGAACAAGAATAGTAACAGTGAAATGGTAAGCTTTGTAGAGATTTAGCTGTTCCCACTGCAATCCCACTCTTCATTTGCAATAAAACCCCAAAGCGGCAGGATAAAGTCCTACGGATTTGTTTTCATTCTTGTGGACAATGGAAACCAATATTAGTTTTTGTGTGCTGAAGTTTAGGTGGGAAGGCCTGCATAAGTAAAACTGCCTCTGAAGATCCGAGTACAAAGGTGGTGCCATGGAAGCTGCCGAGCACAGAGAATGGCAGCTGGGAAACCAAAGGCCCAGAGGAGGAAGGTGGTGGTCATCTAGGACTTCCTTGGTGCCTCTTTGCTGAGTAGAAAGAGAACCAAGACTCATGAAGTCCAGCTTGGAAGTTGCACCCAGGAGAGAGCTATGATGCCTGGCTGCTTAGCTAGGGAGATATTTCCACCAAGGCTCGCCATCAAAGGGGTAATGCAAAAGAGAAAGCACCCTTTGGGGTTGTCCTTTGGCAGCTAAAGAGAAGAACGCAAAGGAACGCAAGACCTCTGCTGGATCACATGAAATACCTATCCAGTTCAGTGGCCTATCAGATGCCTCTGGGAAGCCCAAAAACAAGGCACGTGGGCAACAGCCCCCCACTGCTCTTCTCTAGCAACTGGTAATGAGAGGCTTGCTGAGTCTGTTCCTGGACGTCTATTGTATCTTGCGACTTGACAGCTGCCTGACCTGGCCTTTTGGAGATTTGCAGTTTCTAGTCTCCATTTTTGTTCTTTGGTCCTATTGTGAGAGGATGGGGTATTGATTGTAAACAAGAGCTGTCATTTCTCTATCGTACACTGAGTGGGTATTTTCTGACCTTTTGCTCCCTCTCTTTGCTTTTATAAGGAGGGAGGAGTGTTGCTGTGAGATAATGGCTATGTGTTTTGAGTCTGAGAGGCCAGAACACCAGATGCTGAAAGCCTGACGACCAGATGTGAGGAAGGAGCTGTGGTGGCAGAACTGGAGAGGTGAATACCACCATATATTTCTTTGACCCCTGCCCTTCCTGATTGATTAAAGCAGGAGTGGGGGGGGGGGGAGGATGAGGCCGGCTAATTGGGTGAAAGACATGCATTTTGGAGGTGCTTTTCAAAGATGATTGCTATATCTGCTCACAATTCATGCCCTTTGGCTTGTACGTTTCCACAGGGTTCCATCTTGTGTATAGCAGGGGTGAGGAAATGTTTAGGCCTGGTGGGCCAGATCTTTATCTCCCCCTTCCCCCATGGACTTTGGCATATGAGTGGGACCACCCTTCAGTCAATTATCTGCTGCCATATTGACCAGCTGGTCTTCAGGTGATGAGCGGGGAGTTAAAAGCCCTTTTGCAGGTATTGCTAGTGCGACTCAGTTCTCCATGTGGAACTCAAGTCGCACGGCGGATGCAGCTGCCTCTCAACATGCTGCACACTTGACAGCGCATATGGCATCAAGTGTGGGGCAGGTGGGCATGCTCTGGGGTGATGGTCTGGTGGGCTGAATCTGGCCTGCAGGCCAGAGGGTTCCTTACCCCTGCTGTATGGAACAACATGAAACAATTTGGAAAGATCACCTGGGAATTTAGGACACGTTGTCATTAGTATATTAATACCAGCATTCTCTCCCTCACCTTATGATTACAGGGAGGTCCTGAGCCAGTATAGTGGTACCTCGGGTTAAGTACTTAATTCGTTCCAGAGGTCTGTTCTTAACCTGAAACTGTTCTTAACCTGAAGCACCACTTTAGCTAATGGGGCCTCCTGCTGCTGCCGCGCTGCCAGAGCACAATTTCTGTTCTCATCCTGAAGCAAAGTTCTTAACCTGAAGCACTATTTCTGGGTTAGCGGAGTCTGTAACCTGAAGCGTATGTAACCTGAGGTACCACTGTACTTGAACTTGGGAGGGCTTTTAGATCCAGTATGGCTCTTGAATGTCCAGGCTGGGGCAGTGGACAGGTCTACTCTTGGAAGTTAGAAGTGTCAATTTCTGGAGCAAACTGATCCTGCTACAGATACATCCAGATCAGACAACAGTCACATGCACTATTCAAGTGCTTTTGAAAGTCATCCAGAAACCTAAACTTCTGCATATATGTGGGCAGCAGCTTATTATTTAAACCATATCCTATAAATGTTGTGCAAAGTTCACAGACTTTCATTTCCAGGCCCAAAGTGCTGGCTCTGTCCTGAATTATTTGGCAGCTGGAAAAGATACCCAAAGGAGCACCACCTCCTATATGAAAGTACCTTCAGCTAAGTCCCTGCTTTGTATACCAGCACCATCTGAAACAGGCTGGGTGGGAACATGAAGTAGGGCCTTCTTAGTGGTGGCCACTGGGCTGCGAAGCTCTTAGTCGTGTTCAGTCTTCTTCAACCTGGACTACAATCCTGTCCCCTTGGTTAAGGTGCAGCAGATGACAGGAGCTGCATTTCACTATCTGGGGACCCAAGTTTGAATAATTCTGATTTAGCTTTGCCTTTAGAAGACAGATCAAAACATTGCTGTTTAGATGTGCATTTTGCCATTATCTATCTTAGTATCTGCTGCTGACAATGCAGATGGAATTTTGAGTTAAGCACATAGGGAAGCACTTTCTTTTCACAGAAAACTACTGGATTGAAACTCTATTTCTTTCTTTCCCATTTAGTGCTCACTTGTGTTGGACTTCAAGAGACCTGAAGTTACTGCACGTTACACCCATTTGACCCACTGCCTAACACCAAGTTTGGGTTTGGAAAAATGTTTTAAAGCAAAATTGCTTTGAAAATAAGAGGCAACTATATTTCCACACAATTGTTTCTCCAACTAAGCCATTTTGAATCTTTGATCTTGTGGTTCCTTGAATTTGGAACTTGATAGCTGAGAGCAAAACTTGAGACATATATTGTTCAACTTCACACTCATAAGACTTACACATGAATGATAATGTGTAGGATTCTAGCAATGGGGCTGAATAACTCTTTGGCAAAACTTCATAGTAAAATAAATTAAGAGGAAAGACTTTTACAGGTTTTTTGTTTAAATATTATTGCAAAATAACAGAATGTCAACCATGGATTAGAGACAATATTTCTTTAACGTTAGAGACCAAGTACAATAATTTTGCATTAAATTAATGCTAAGTCATAGTTATTGCAGCTCTCATAGAAAAATAAACTATCTCACAATGTACTAAAGTGACACATAAATAAATAAAACTGAAATAAAAAAGTTAGTCATGAACACTACAAAAATACATTTTAAATAAAAACATGTAGTAAGCTTCAACAGAAGTTACGGCAGTGATTTCAAAGTGTTTAATCTTATATTGAACAACGGGAAATTATTTTTACTCTGAACTCCTCTTTCCTAGAAAGAGCCTACGGATTTTAAGCACTGAATCTATAAAAACAGGACTCATCCACGTTTGCTTTTACAAAAAAAAATACAGTACACATTAAAACTTGACGGAAGCAAAAAGTATCAGAAACCACTGCAAAATATACATTGCAAATTAGATGTGTTCGAATTGTATAGTGATACTGAAGTATGAAACAGATTGTGGCATGGGAAACAGAAGGAAAACCTGACATATCTGTATGCAGGAATCGTGGATAGCATGATGTTCCTCTTGACATACTTAAGTATATTGGCACTAATTGCGTACCTTTTTTAAGGAGTGTGCAAAGTATCGGGGAGACTGAATAAAAACACAAAGAGATTTGGTTGTTTCAGCAAGAGAAGTTGCAAAATTTTCCAAAGAACAGCATACATTCTAATTCTAAAAGTGCTATGATTGTGCAGTTTTTGAGTGTTGTAGCCTCAGCCGAGCACAACTCCACTATCTCCAAAAATAAATAATTTTTCATTCAAAAATCCACAGGGTTACAATGCCCAGCTCCAGATGTCCCTCCAACACTATGGGAATACTTCTTGTAGGCAATGGGATGGATGCAAAGAGCTTCCAATAGCATTAGGAAAGGGGTTCCATGCATGCATGGACCAGGGGCAGAGCTTTAAAACACTAAAATATACCAGCTTTAATTTTTGGTTGACAAGAGACCTGCAGGAGCTAGAGTGGTGACTGACCCAGCCTGCTCTATTTTTCTACTGCCATCTTCTCATGTGCTTACCATCTCACACTTTCCTGCACTAACACTATATTTTCCATTTCATATATATAATGGAAAATATAGTGTGTGTGTGTGTGTGTGTGTGTGTGTGTGTATACACATACACAAAAACACACCCTGGTCAAATTGAGTCAAATGCTTTAGCGTGTCTTCTTGATGTAGTAATTATTCCTAAGTAACAATGAGCCATTTAAAAAAAAATATCTTAAAAAAATCCAGTAGTGATTAACCCCTTTGATTATTCCAGTCTTCTACACAAAATGATTCTATCCAATTTTAGAAAGACTCAAAGCAAACAAAGTCAGAATAGTTAGTATCTATAGAAAAGAGATTCATAAAGTGTGCTCTGTATACAAACGCACTTATACTTTTATCTAGTGTTCTCTGAAATGCAAAACAGAAGGATCACCATATTCGTTCCTTCGCATAAAGCAGTGGTTCTCAGGATGCGAGTTGAGTCTCCTTACTGAGATGCCAGAAGGAACACAGCCCCCTGCTAGGACTCTCAGCATTTCAAGCCTATGTTGGCATGGGGACTATGACCCATGGATAGAAACAGAACTAGCTTTAGGCAAAGCATGCTGTAGGATGGTAGCCTTAAGAGTCAGTTCCACTTGTGCCAGCCAGGGCGGAAGGTAGAAGTGGGAGCAGGAAAGACTTGTTGGCTGTGCTACCTCCCAGGCTGGTGCAGAGAAGAGTGCCTGCAACCTGGCAGCAGTTAGGGGTCAGCACAGGATTCTCCACCATCTCCTGTGTTTTGGGCGTTTCCACTGGCTACTGCCACCAGCAGTTTCCACCAACCATTTTGGAAGGTGCATTAGGGTACTTCTTGCTGGTAGGGCTATCTTGCTGAAGATGGAGCTCTCTCCTGAGTGGCCAGTGGAGTCAGGCTGGAGAAATATCTGCGTCTCATCTAAGTACCATCCACAATGACTGGGTAGGGGGATTAGATTGCTCTGTTAGTGTTTTTGTTTTTAGTAGGCAAGCCTACTTAGCCTCTCTCCTCCAAATTAGTGCAATGTAGGACATCAAGGCTTGCGGTTATCGGGGCCAGAGTGATGGTGGTAAGGAATTGTTTCAATCTTTTCTGTTTTGTTTTGCAGGCAATTCTCTCTGTGGGTATTTTGTCCCACATTTCCCCCCTTTCTGATCTGCTTTCTCCCCAGTGCTCAGAACAGGAGTTAAGCGCCAACGGTTGACCTGTCACTGATTTGTGCCAGCTACATTTTGCTTTACATAGTTTGGGAAATGTAGACCAAACCTTTTCTTAACTAAAGTGAGATCAGTGCGTTTGCAACACCAGTTCGGATTAGCATTACGTGCCAATGCTAAATACTAAATAAGTTAGGTTATGTTAAAGTGCTACAATGCAGAGTGGTGTTGTGAACAGGTAAGAAGCCTGCTTATGCCAGAACAGTTAAATTTAAGCCAATTTGATCCTGTTGATCCTAAATGGGACTGAATTGGCTCCGATCCAATTTATCTGTGCTTTAATTGGTTTAATCATGTTAATCAGTAGTTAATGCACATTTGTTTTTTCCAAAATGGAGCAGCTCTGTTTGAAATCTAGCCATGTTGTGTAACTAGGCTTTCAGGTCAGTTTCTCATTACAGTATTCAAACCACAAACCCCCAAAGTATCTTTCAAATAAACTTCTTGACTGAGAAAACAAAGCTTTGAAGAAAGCAGCCTGTCTTCAGGAGTTACATTTGAAAGTTTCATTTATTTGTAACTTGCTGATGTTGATTTCTTCAGGCTTATCACGTCTGTAAGTTACGGTTTTTGTACAAACAGTGGGCAAGAACATTTTATCCTTAAAGGAGAAAAGAATATAAATGGTCAGAAAGTTCCACACAACTAGCATTCCTTTTTTAAAAAATCATTATGGATCAGTGACATCAGTTACCTTTTTAGTTGCAGATATTCTATAATCAGATGAAGATTTAATTTTGTTATTGCTCCACTGCAAAATTATTTGTCGGATTATAAGCACGTTAAGCAACCCAATCAGAAATGTAACTATAAAAATTATGAAAAAGATTCTGAAGTGGCTTGGATCATCAGCTGTGCATTCTGCAAAAAGAAGAAGTAGTAAAATTCACACTGTCCCCTCAAAAGGTCCATGCAATAAACCTAAAAGATAAAGCCAAACCCTAATACGATAAAGTAATTTATAATTGTACTTTTGTTGAATAATATAATAAATGACATATTTATTCCGATATATACAAAAAGGCACCTTATCCTTAAAAAGCATTATCCAAAACAAGGAATGTACATGTTAGGCAGATCTATAGTTACACCACTGATCTCAGTATTGCTGCTGCTAGCAAAAAGCATCAAGTGATGATTTATTTATCTAGATTTTATTCCCCAAGCAGTGCACAAATAACTGAAGGTAAAACGCAGCTTTAGAGATCCACTAAAACCACCATCATTATCTCTCTCTGAAGTTGAATGTTTATATCTTCAAAATGTGTAGCCAGTTGGTCACAGCAGGTCTTCAAAGGTTCTAGAGCAGGGGTCAGCAAACTTTTTCAGCAGGGGGCCAGTCCACTGTCCCTCAGACCTTGTGGGGGGCCGGACTATATTTGAAAAAAAAAAAATGATGCAAGAGCACCACGAGCCCCGGTGACTGCTTACCTGTGTCTTGCGAGCAGCAGGGGCTGGCGGCGGCGGCAGGACAATGAGCATCACGAAAAAGGGCTCTGGAGAGGGGCTGCTTAAAATGGTGGCTGCTCGAGCGCTGCTCCTGCTGGCACCAACAAAGCCCAGCCTCCTTCCTCCTCTAGACAGGGCGGGAAGAAGCCAGGAGGAGGGAGGGAGGAGGCACCACTGCCTCCCGTGTGAGGGAGAGGGAAAGAACATGTGTGCTGGCGATCCATGCAGTGATTCCCAGACTGTCCATGGGCTGAATCCAGAAGGCAATTGGGCCTGATCCGGCCCACGGACCTTAGTTTGCCTTCCCATGTTCTAGAACAGGCGTCGGCAACCTGTGACCATGGGCGACAAGCAGCTCACGGGTGTCATTTAAACGGCCCATGAGCCGCCTCTGAACTGAGTCACCCACTTGGCGAGTCCCCAAACACTGCGCTAAACCGGCGCAGCACGGACTCGCTTCCGCGGTGCTGGAAATCGTGTCTGCACAGACGTGATCTGGCCCATGGAGCCATCTTTGCGGGAGTGTACCTGCCCAGGCAAGGTAAACCTTGCCAACCCCTGTTCTAGAGGTCCTTCCCCCTCAGTGGGAGTCAGGAAATTCTGCACAGCTTAAAAGAGCTCTCCTGGTTAATTTGCTGGAGGATGCAGTGCAGTTTTCTCTGCCTGCAGTGCCTCATGGAGCCACCACCAAGCTGCCTCTGTTTCTCTAGGGATCAGAGCCCCACCTTTGGTAGTGTCTGTACTTTTAAGAGATCAGGGACATGATCTTAATTCTGGGGGAGTTTATATGGAATGAGAGGGTTTCTTAAGTTTATAGAGCTAGATTGCATACATGCCATATATTTCAAGCCTCCCGCCCCCCTCCCCGGCAAGAATCCAGGAAACAAGTTTGTACAGGTGCAGGATATTGTAACTCAGTGAGGGGTCAACTACAGTTCCCAAGATAATAGGAGGGTGGGATATACTTTAAAAGCCTTAGAATCAACTGCACATTTTGCTTCAACTGTTCGCGCCTCATAATGTTGGAATAAGAGTAGCTGTATATGGAGAAGTGGAGTGTGAAATAATAGGCTTATAGAAATATTCCTTCCTGTATTACTGTGTCTGGTTTTGTCATTAGCAGAATTAATTTCTCAAAGGCCTAGAAATGCCCGACCTTGACATTTAGCCAATGCCAGCCAACCACATTTTTTGTTATTTAGGTTTTATGTTCTCAAGAGAAAAGAGATTTTGCTTTCATTATTGTGTGAAAATATTAATACTAGCTAGAACAAGGAATGACTTCTACTGTAAAAACAACAACCCCAATATCAGTAGTGTTCTTTTGAGCTACAATCCACAAAAGCCAGTCTCTTCGCTATGTCACCAAGGCAACTGTAGGCTATCTGATACTGATGATTTTGTTTTTCACTTACCTGAAGATTTTTCAGTATAATGCAACCTGTAAGCACATGAGGTTTTGCACTGGTCCAGCGCAATTTGAGACGAGTTGGAGTGACGACAGGGCACACAATTCCTGTAAACCAAAACACAATTGAATATCTATCTTTCTCTCTGGATTACCCATGACTATGAAGTAAAACCAGGGATCAATAAACTCAGCATTTTGTTTCATGTTGTTACTAGCAACAGCGACAGCACAGCATGCCCCCATTCAAGATTGCTTAAGAGAGAAGATTGCCAGGTATCAAAAATGATACACAAGCTGCCATCTAACTAGTCTTTCTTTCAAAATACTTACATGCTGCTTTTCTGAGCAAAGCCTTCTAAAGCAGCTTACAACAAATAAAAACAGCAATCTTGAAAATCAGTTATTCTTAAAGCAAAAATAATATAGATTTGTGCACACACAAAAACCAGATATAAGAAAACCTCAGAATTTCAACAACATAATAAAATTCCAGCCTTCGGTACATATAGTTGAATGACTGGAATTTAAAATAATACTTATCGGCATCCTTAGGAGCTCAGCTAGCAATGAGCTTTTCAGAACGTGAAAAAGTTCCAGAAGGTCTATTTTAACCAGTCTTTTACTACTACTCAGACCGATAATGCAGGACAGACATTGGTAAATTAAAGCTGATTGACCACATCCTGCCCACCAAGACTTTGCCCTGAGAAACAACAACAACTTGTATCCCAACAATTGCCTTTCCAACCATATTCTTTGCCTCTGAGGAATTCTGGGATCTGTAGCTTAAGAACAATTGCAGTTGCTCAAGAGAGGTGCAGGAAGAGGCAGAAAGGCCACACTTCCCTGTGTCAGCACTAGCATTCAAGTGTTGCTTTCTAGTCATGAATAGCCTGAGTCAACAGGGAGTCACAGAACGGGATGTCAGCTTGTCAACTTCACGGTGAGTGAGGCCTAGCACATTGTACAAAGCCTTCTGGCCCAAAGCAAGAGGGTTCAGGATTCTCAGGCAATAACAAAGAAGCACAAAACACACTCCGTGAGGGGCCATAACATTAACTTAACCCTCACTGGAAGGTTGGGATTTGAGGGGTGGGCAGGATGAAGAGCAATTAATGTACTCAGCTTCCACAAGATGGCACTGATTAGTAAAAAGTGTGGGCAACCTTAATTTCCATTGCAAGCCAAACGAGAGGGGAAGTCCTTAGCCCTTAAAAAGCCTTGATGAAGGGCTTTTGTATGGGACATAATGTGTGTCAGTAACTCATGAGGGTCAGCCCAAAGTGATCAATCTATCGAGTATCCAGGAAATGATAAGACCATCACTTTGTAGAATATGGATCAATGCTGTGGTTTTTATTCCTTGGAATCACCAGCCCATTGGTAAGATGCCACAAGGCAGCAGTAAAAGAAGTGCCAGTAGGAATGTACAGTATATATTGCCCGTACCTGCTTTAAAAAGGACCCCTGACCATTAGGTCCAGTCGTGACTCTGGGGTTGCGGCGCTCATCTTGCTTTATTGGCCGAGGGAGCTGGCGTACAGCTTCCGGGTCATGTGGCCAGCATGACTAAGCCGCTTCTGGCGAACCAGAGCAGCGCACGGAAACACCATTTACCTTCCCGTTGGAGTGGTACCTATTTCTCTACTTGCACTTTGATGTGCTTTCGAATTGCTAGGTTGGCAACGGGAGCTCACCCCATCACGGGGATTCGAACTGCTGACCTTCTGATCGGCAAGTCCTAGGCTCTGTGGTTTAACCCACAGCGCCACCCGCGTCCCTGTACCTGCTTTTGGAGACTGCAATTTTTTTTTAAAAAAAAGGACAAATAATAATTTGATCTGAGGAAACATACCGTTTGTCACTGCAAGTTATTCTACAAGTAGGGCAGAATTCACACAAATGGCCCAAACTGCTGGGATCGGTGCATTTGCATCTTCCACACACACAAGTTCCTCTTCCACTGCAGACCTGGCCATTTGAATTCATGCAGTGCTTTCGTAAGGATGACGAGCACTGGCAACGATCGCCCTCCCAGCCGCTAGAGCATTTGCATTTGCCTGCTTCGCATTCACCGTTGCCTACAAGGGCAGAGAAGGAATGGGTGAGGCCCTGGGTACATGACTCACTAGAGAGGGGCTTCCAGGTCTCCTGTGCCGAGCCTTATTGATCACAGCTTCTGAAAACTTATTATACCTCTAAGTGATTATTGGTTTAAAGAAGATGGTAACATATTTTGCTTCTTAGTGAAACTGTGGTAAAGCGTTACTCAAGATGCTTAAGAGATGGGAAATGGGTAATTGATCCGCCTGAGAATATCAGGGTGGGAAGATGAGGTGTACAATTAATGTGTTCCATTAAAAAAAAAATTGCTTAAGAAGGGTATGTGGGTTAAAACTGAGAGCTCTTTAAAAATATTTATCAGTTTGGTTGTTTTTCAGTAGAGTTTTGGTGCCATAAATACACCGATACTGTGAAGAAGGGATAGTTGTTAAACCACAAGCTACATATGCCAGCAGATATCATTAGATGCTGACTCTCACCTTTCTCAACCAACATGACTCATGGTCAATGGATAAGAGGAGCTGTAATCCAGCAACATCTGGTTCTCCACCCTGACTTATGCAGTACAAAGCCATTTCTTAGGTATTGCGGTTAACATTTGTGTGGGGTTCTACACCACAAGGGGAACCTACACATGTAGAGAAGGATCACCACACTTCCGCACAATGCATGGAGGGTGTGTGTGTGTGTGTGTGTGTGTGTGGTGTAGCAAGGACACAATGGTTGGGCCAGCAAGCATGGCCACTCTTCATGTGATGGACATAGCTGATGTAAAGAACACCTGACAGTGGACTATAACTGAAGAAAAACTTAGCCATGAGATTCCCTAGGTGGCCCGGGGCAAGTTATCAACTCCCAGCTTCACTTACTAACCTACTTCACAAGCCGTTGGGGAAATTAATGAGGTTGCTTACTTGAAACTATTGCCCTTGGGAAGGAATCCACATGCAAATGGGAGTTCACATGGCAGGAATGTCATCAAAAGGCATATCTTCAAGTTGGAGGGAACTTTCCTAACACTTGGTTGTTTTGGTCACACCCAAGGCGACATTATTTCCCTCCTTAAGATCCCCACTGTCAGATTTTAACCTGGGAGTGGATTCCCAAAGGATGGGACTGCGTGTGGATAAATTGCCGAAGAACAATAGCTACTGGTGAGCAACCTTGTTTTCTTTTCTTTTCTGCACACTGCTAAATATTTTGGCGACTAGCAAACTCTCCTGAAAATGGAAGCAAAAAAAAAGCTGAGTTGCCTTAGTGTCAGTAATTTGCATCAAATGTATGTATGTAAATCAATCAATCAATCAATCTGGTGTGCTTGCTCTTTTGGGGGGGATTCCCCAGCAGAAAGAGAAAGCTCTTTTGTCAAGGGCACTGTGTAACATAAGACTATTTGGCATCATCTCAGAGGAGCAAGTTAGCCAGCTCATTCCAGACTCTTCATACCCTTAACCAATCCAAAGTTTTCCTGGATTCTTAAAATGAGTCCATCCATTCACTGTCACTGTCCCTGATGTGTGGAGCTCTCTCCAGACTGGACGAACAAATACCCTTTCCTTTAAATCTCTCCTTCTTCGGGTGTGGTTTTTGACTTATCTGCTTCAATCCCACCAGCAATAAAGTTTTAAGTACGTGTATCTGAACTTGCCCACAGCTGCTCTTCTGTCACCTCTTCTTTCCCTTTCCTTGCTGGTCCCCCCTCCCCTCACATCACCCCTTGTGTATTTTATATTGTACGCTTCTTGAGGCCACACATTTGTCTATTTCTGCAGATGTAACTTTGTGAGGAACTATGGATATTGATGCTGCTGTAGGTACATGGTGTTACCTAGCAATAGTGTGACTTAGTTTGGTCTTAGGGTTAAAGCAAGCTACAAATCTAATTAACAGAAAAATCCTGTGCATGTTTACTTAGAGGCCCTGCTAGATTTGATGGAGCTTGCTCTCTGGAAAATGGGTTTAGCTGAAAAAGACTAAAAGCTGAATTGGTAAAATATAGTGAAATTCTGGAGCTTACCAGCACATAAGTTTCCCAAGTGATGAGGGCAGGAGAAGTCATCTTTTTCACAGTATTTACCATATATTGTGCCAAGTTTGGTTTTGTGGCAAATGCATTTCCCATCTACACAGTCTCCTTGACCACTGCACACTAGATGGCCCTTGGGCATCTTGCACTGCTCAGAAGAGAATTTGTCGCTGGAGCTCGAAGTCTCTGCATCCTGAGATGTTTCATCGACACATATCCTTTTGTGCTTTACGCTGCCCTCACACTGACAAGCACATATTTTGTGTATATTAACTCTGGTTGATTCATTGAAACCAAGCGGTTTGAGCGTCATGTATTTTCTTCCTTCAGTTGTACCACATCCTTTCATGGCAATGGAAATATTGAAGAGCACCTGCAATATAAAAAATGAGAAGCACTCTTTTACTGTATCGTTGAAAAGCAGACCTATATCGTACTGGGGCTTTATAGAAGCTGTTGAAAAATCCAAGTTATTTATAAGCATATATTCTTTTTAAAACATTGACTTCTTGGCGGCGTGGGGAGAAAATACCTGTCACCATTCTCTCTCTCTCTCTCTGAATTGTTTTCAGATATCATCCTGAATGAGACAGGGTGGCCTATTAGAATTAACCATAATTTTAAACCAACAAGCACTAGCTGAATCTCTTTCCTGTCTTAGGACCACCTTCAATGTGATATTTGCCCAAAAGCTTTGGACGCAATGTGTATGCTGTCATAGATGGTCCCATATAAATGATCGTCATTAATAGCAACAAGCACAGCAATGAAAAAGCTTAATCACTCAAGCAGTTATATGTGATCTTTCTGCATTGGTGTTCCCTGAATTGGCATGCTGCATTCTGAGGCCACCAACAAAAAGTAATTTACATGCAAGCAGAACTTTACGTGCCACTAGTACTGTGTGTGTTGTTGTTTTTTAATGCTTCCCTCTGTAGCAGCTGCCACAAACTACTACAGTGGTACCTCGGGTTACAAACGCTTCAGGTTACAAATGCTTCAGGTTACAGCCTCTGCTAACCCAGAAATAGTACCTCGGGTTAAGAACTTTACCTCAGGATGAGAACAGAAATTGTGTGCCAGAGGTGAGGGGCAGTGAGAGGCCCCATTAGCTAAAGTGTACCTCAGGTTAAGAACAGTTTCAGGTTAAGAACGGACCTCCGGAACGAATTAAGTTCTTAACCCGAGGTACCACTGTACTCAGTTGAAAAAGCGGCTTGCCTCTGTGAGAATGGAAGCTGCAAGGGCTAAAAGAAAAAAACACACTGCACAATTGGCCTCCTTAACTGTGGGCAAGCTACTGCCTTTGGTGATGCTTTTAATGCCCCAGTCTACTCATCCACTGCAAATGTGAAATGTGGCTTACACGTCAGCTTCACAATCTGAAAATGCTTATCTGTTTTACCCGAGGAGCTTCACATACACAGAGGAGCGTATAAATGAAGAAGCTAGGGGTACAACACACAGCACCCCTAGAACATTAGCCATGGGCAAAGATGTGTGCTGTAATAATAAAGATGACTCTGATGACCATCCATCAGGAACTCTGAATGGTTTAGGAAATGAAGCAAAAACCTCAGGGCACATCTTTAAAATAACTGCATGCCTTCACACCAGTTATTTAAAAGGTACTTTAATTGATTAGCAATAGGATCAAAACTTTCAAGCAGGCACAATGTCTCATTCCTGGAAGCCTAGGGAAATTTTGAAAAAGCAGCTGCTTACTGCTAACCATGGAGCAGAAATGTTTATCCATGGATTTAACTGGAAAACAAAGCTCCAAAGAAATAAACTCCACGAACAATCTGGAGGGCCTAAGACTACGACCCACAGATATTTACTTTAAAACCCATACCAAATCTTTCTTCCACTGAAAAAGCTATTATAAAAACATTGATGAAATATTTTGCCTCCTTTGTGAATAAAGGAATGCTCGTACTTCAGCTGTGGATTTCACGTTTTTGCATCCCTCCGCGCCGGTTTTTCTACTTCCATCAGGGCAGATTGCAGTGACCTTGACATTTATATCTTGGATGGGGTTTTCCACCTGAATTTTCACTTCGGAGAGCAGTTTCTGCAGGGGTGGGGGTGGGGAACCAAAAAACCAAGAGAGCTCCATCACATTGCATGGCAATATGTGCTACAGTGGCAGCATGCCTGACTCAGTGGATTTAACTAGAACAAAAGAGCCTGTCTGTCTCTGGATAAAGGAATAAATTGTTTTCTGCATAAAGACTCCATTTATATATATCACACAGTCATGCCAGGGGAACTTGTAATCCTGAAGAGGAGGAGGAGGAGGACAGCAATGTTGGGGTTTCCAGCTAATCTTACAATGGCAGTGACAAATCCAACATTCCGTTCTACCGCTATAGAGCAAGTTCACACAATAACATCTTTATTCCGTTCTATGTCTACTGAGTGGACACTGGTTTTCAAAATACTGCTGCTGTTAGCACCTGGAATACCTACTTCCAGATGTCCCTCTCCCCATCCATCCATCATGGAGAATGATGCCCCTCGCTTTTGTGGCACCGACCTTTCTTATCCTTGCTAGATTGAGCACGAGACTCTGCAAGCTGTTTTCTTTGTTGGCAATGCTAATCACAGAGCAAAACGAGAAAAAGACAAGCAAATCCCTTGTTTGCCGTGGCAAGAAGGCTGCCATGGCAGTGTGTAGCTGCTAGCACCTCTACACTTGCTGGGGGCATGGAGTGATTTGGTTTAAAGATAATGTTTGAAGCCTCTCTCCCTGAATGATGTGATACTTTTCTAAGTCCAGGGATTATCTTCTAAGCTTACAGAGTATCTATTCATGTACACACATACAAAATCAAATAAGCAATCCCTCCACACAGTCTTAATTGGTACAGGGCTGCATCAAATGATTATTCTGAATGTGCTCACTGCCTCTCAGAACACTAAGTATGATAATAGCTCAGTTGGTAGAGCATGAGACTCTTGATCTCGGGGTTGTGGGTTCGAGCCCCATGTTGGGCAAAAGATTCCTGCATTGCAGGGGGTTGGACTAGATGACCCTCATGGTCCCTTTCAACTCTACAATTCTATGAAAAATTAGATTACAGATAAAAACCCATCAGATTTAATGAAAATGAGATTCCTTTCTGGGCAAGCTCACAGTGCCACCTTATCACAAGCAAATGTGCATCATATAAGTTCCATCCTGATGTTGGAACCAAAGATGTACTGGGGAAAAGGTGAGATATGGGTTTCTTTAAGCTAAAATGTTGGAACTTTGAATTGTGATGAAGTCATTAACTGTTTTCTGTTTTGAAACTGGGAGCAAAATAAGCTGTTCTCATCTTTTGGCATAGATTCAAGGTTGCCTGGATTTCTGTTGATTGTATCCTTAGCAGAGCAAGACCAATTAAACTGATAATTGTTAAAAAAAACAACCAAATCTGTAGAAATGCCATGAGCTCATAACTTTTTTATGACACCTGTTTGGTAAACTCCCAATTAAAAATTGAAACTACAGAGAAATTCAGAAGTATCTTGGACCCATCATCAATCAATTATAGGCAGCTGATATTTTTTAATTACAATAGTTCAATTCAGGTGAACTGCAGTGGAAGAAATTTCACACACACAACATAAAGTTTCTCTTTTTAGTTCACCACTCTCTCTTTTATATACCATTTGCCTATTTTTAAGGAAGGATGTAGAATTTTAGATGCTGAGACCTTAAGCATATTTTTAATTTGGGATGTTTAGACACAGCTCTAATTGGTGCCATTTTTGCTGGGTCTTCTCATTATCTATTTGTAAATTATGGCTTTGGAGAGATGACATCTCCTTCCGAGAATGCATCTCCTTGACATTTGCCCCAATTAAAAATGGAACATCAAAGCAAGGTTAGTTACGAAGCAGATATAAATCAATTTGATTGCTACAACTAATTTCAGTGAGAAACAGTGAAGATATATTGTATATCCAATTGGTGCATGGGAACATTTCTAGTACAGAAAGTCACCAACATGGTACCCTTAGATGTCGTTGGACTACATCTCCCATCTACCCTGACCATTGGCTATACTGGCTGGGATTGAAGGAAGCTGTAGTTGTTGAACATGTTGTTGAACATACTGAAGGCACCACACTGGCTATTCCCCGCCCCCGATCTTTCTCACCCTGTCCTAGTGGCATATTTTCTTGATAACTGTACACTAGCTTGATTTTCCCCAGAAGTAAAGAGAAGGTATGTGGGTTTTTTTGGCAGTTAGCCTTTAGTTTCCACTCTTAAGTGATTTTCTTGGGTAAAGCTATGTGCTGCTAGTAAAGGAAGATTTCCTTCTGACCCAAGCTTGACAGAGGCTCGCTTTTTTTTTTTAGTTTCTTTTCTTTTTGCTCCATTCTCATCTCTGTGGACAGTCTGTGAACCAACCACAGACCTCACCACAGCAAATTTGGTAGAATGGGACTTTGGGACATTTTGTAGATTAGATCGTTATGATTAACCTAAAGGAAGGAGGGGAGGGGAGTTTAGAACACAGGAAGCTGCCTCAGACAGTTGGGCTACCTAGCGCAGTACTGCCCAAGGTGCCTGGCAGCAGCAGCTCTCCCTGGCTACAGGCAGAAGACCCTACCTGAGGATGCTAGGTACTGAACCTAGAACCTTCTGCATGCAAAGCTGATGTTCCACCACCTTCCATATGGGCTTTTAGCTTTGAATTCTGGTGATTGGCTGCTTTGCTACTGACCTCCAGTGTTCTTATGGACTGCTTGTTCTTTGCGTCTCTGTATTATTATCATAATCATCAATATTTCCCAGCAACTTATTCCTTCTTATTCCTCAAAGATTATAATTATAATAAAGATTACAATATGATCTCTGAAGATTAGGAGAGTGTTTATCCTAGAAAAGTTTAACCTCAGGCCATAATTATTTTACACTGTGGTATTGGTTTTAACAGATCTAACAGTTTTCTCCATAATATTTTACTGTTCTATGTAATATTATATGAGAACAGTGCTATACAGTGGTACCTCGGGCTACATACGCTTCAGGTTACAGACTCCGCTAGCTCAGAAATAGTACCTCAGGTTAAGAACTTTGCTTCAGGATGAGAACAGAAATTGTGCTCTGGCGGCGCGGCAGCAGCAGAAAGCCCCATTAGCTAAAGTGGTGCTTCAGGTAAAGAACAGTTTCAGGTTAAGAACGGACCTCTGGAACGAATTAAGTACTTAACCCGAGGTACCACTGTATATATTTATAGGTATGCAGGCACTCCTTGACTATCTTGCTATATTGCACCTGTTCCTGGAGCTCACAGAATATTTATTTTAACAGCTGCTTCCCCCAAACCAACATTAATGAAAAATGCATTCATCACAAAGCATATACCTTGTAGGCTTCTACCACCAAGTCACTGAGATTCACTGCTTGAGATTCTATCTGTCTTGCAGTAGTTCCCGGCAGAAGAGGCAATAGGTCCTACAGAAAAGCAATGTTACAGTTAAAAGGCATCTGTGATTATTATCTTAAAACCTGTGAAATTCTGACGTTTAAAAATACCTTATACCAGTGAAATTGGCTCCCTTGGACTGCAAAAATTACATTAATGTTGTTGTCTATAAGTTTTTCAGAAAGCTGGCCAAGTGATGGATGCTCCTGAAAACAAAAAAAGGAGATACATAGTGTGGCATTTGTAGTTTAATATGGTCTAAAGGAATGCTATGAGTGTGAAATTAATAAGAAACCTTACATAAATGACTGTTCTTCTGTCATAAATCCCTGAATGCTTGTAGTGAAACAAGCCTTAGGACAAGTATATATATTACATTCATCAGATGGCAACAGCAGTTATCACTTGATATTCTTAACTAAATGAAACTGTCAGCATGTATGCAAGCTAGGTCAGTAGCCTTCAGCTGTTTGATTATCAGAACCCACCTTTAGCCTGAATGTGTTTTTAAACTATGCATCCATTTTAATTCTTGCCCTGTCTCCTACTCTTCCTAAAAAATACCCTAAATAAAAAATAGTGCTAGCAGGGCTGCTGCAACCCAATTAAGGTCAGGTGGTGACTGTTGTGGGTCCTGACTCATCATATGAACACGAGTGACTGAAACACCACATGCGATTTCCCGTCTTAGCATATCTGCAGAGCAAACCACCCCACTCCCAAATAAAAGGGGAAAGAAGAAAGAGAAAGAAGCTGAAAGATGACCAAGTAAATGAGTCAGGCGCAGTCTGGATGAATGGACTTATGGTCGAGTCACATGCAATGTATCAGCGGCAAGCATCAGCTCCCTGCAGTGTGATACATGCACTTGACAACATTCTGTTATTAATAGAACAGGCATAAGGGACCCCTGACCATTAGGTCCAGTCACGGACGACTCTGGGGTTGCGGTGCTCATCTCGCTTTACTGGCCAAGGGAGCCGGTGTACAGCTTCTGGGTCATGTGGCCAGCATGACTAAGCCGCTTCTGGTGAACCAGAGCAGTGCACAGAAATGCCGTTTACCTTCCCGCCAGAGCGGTACCTATTTATCTACTTGCACTTTGACGTCCTTTCGAACTGCTAGAACAGGCATACCTTTTCATTAAAACTAATTCAGGGCAGTTAACAGGGTTCTGCTATCTTGGCAGTGTGTTTCCTTAGAGAAAAGGGAAGCTCATGACAGTAGCCGTGTGAGCGCCTTTTCACCAACGCACTGGGTTCAAAAGTACAGAGCGGCAAGCGAACAAAAGGAGCTACACTTCTCTGTGTTGAGGCGCAGCACTGCAGGTGTGCTAAGTGGAAAAACACACACACACTTCCCTTCCCTTTTCTGTCCACAACTTTTCTCTTTCCTTCACCCTGCATGTGAGCCTGGTCTCAGTATGGGTTCGTATCTCCCACCACTTATTGGGTATCCACAAAGATTAACCAAAATTCAACTCTACCTACAGGCTGATCAGATGCTATAATGGGAGCTTTCAGCATGCAGAAGAAAAGGAGCTGCACTCTTTAGTTTGTGTTGCTCAGGTCGCTCATCCCTAGCATAAACTTGTCATTTTCTCTAGACTCGGTTTGCAATGTAAAATACCTAGCTTACTCCAATCTCCCCCAAGTGATCCCAGGCCTTCACAACGAATATAGTGTTTAATTCTTGCAACAAAACATGTCAGCGTACCTTGAGCAGGAGACATCCTCTACCACTCCTGGCTATCTGGAACAGCATATAATGTAAGCAGGGAAGAAAAGACCTCAATAAGAGGTGGGGTGGTGAAGAAAAAAAGCTACTCACACTGTACTGACTGGGAGGCTGAAACCAGTTGAGTGAGCTGGTTCTAGCTGAAGTTCATGCCTTGGCTCCAGCAGGAGCATATCATTACAGAGACCCTTCTAACGCTTGGGGAAACCACTGTTCAAAGCCAATGCTGTATACGACATATACCTTACCATACTGGTCGCTTTGACGTACACATTATCTTTCAAATGGCAGTTTCCATCATTAGGGATTACTATCCCTGCTAATTTACTGTCAAGCGCCAGGTGAGAGGTCTGATCCGTCATCATGAGAAGCAGGCGCTTGGCTTCTTTGCGCCAACCAATATGGCTCTAAGGGAAGGAAGGGAAAAAAATAACCAAGCTAACGGGGTGAAAGCAAATGAAGAAGACAGAAGCATTAGTTAAAAGGTACTGCACTGGTTTGTAGGCTCTATTTGATTTAAAGTGCCTGAAACACAACAGGTATCCAAAGGTTCACTTTTTAATCTACTGCAGGGGTGGCCAATGTTGTGCCCTTGAGATGTTCTAGCACTACAACTCCCAGCATGCCTTGCCATGGCCGTGCTGGCTGCAGCTGATGGGAACTGCAGTTCCGGACCACATCTGGAGGGCCCCACTTTGGCCACCCCCGGTTTACTATTTTAAGAATTGCTTTAATACTGAAAATGATATAAAGCATTTGTGGTTTTTAAGCAAATGGAAGCATAGTTGCCCAACTGCTCTAGATCTGGCTGTGACTCTTCAAGAACAGCAATAACTACCCAAGACTCTTATACCAACACACATATATGGTACCTGCTGGGAACTGGCCTGGCTTTTTCAAACCACAACTTGAAGCCCTAAAAATATCTGCAAAAGCACTTTTGAGCAGGGACGATGATGGACGTGGAGAGAAAAGGTCAACATGAGCACCACAAGCAATGGAAGGTCTCCACAACTGCCTTTGGTTCTGTGAAAAGCTACAATATTCAGACAGCACTGGAGAACCATGGGATTAGATAAACTATCAAACACTAGGATAAAAGGCAGATCCTTTGCTGGTTTATTGGCTGCCTCTTACCTGGCACACAGCTGCTTGAAGCATAGCATCAAAGCCTCCTTCAGGTGTGTCAATATTCCCAGAGATTTTCTGCTTGCTAATTGCACTTCTGAATTCTGCTATTTTGTCAGTCAACGATAAGACATGGATATAGCCATGAGGAGGCATACAATCGAGATCATAATCGCTGTTTGGCAAAAAGATGAAAAGTGAAATTCTATTAAAATTCTGCTTGGAAATTAGTTCTAGGTTAATAGTTGGCTATAGCGACACAATGCTCGCACATCATTTCTGGCTGTCTATAAATATAGACACACTAAACACAAATCCATGTTATTACAAAAAGGGAGTAAGTGCTGATGAACTATGTCAGGTGTGGGGAATGTGTGGCCCTCCAGATGCTATGGGTCTCCAGCCCTCACCATTCCTGACCACTGGCCATGATGGCTGGAGCTGATGGGACTGGAGCCCAATATCTGGAGGGTCATAGGTTTCACCATCCTTAAACTATGTGGTATGACATTATATGATTCCATATAATGTATGGAAAGTAAGGGAGGAGGTTGAAAGACCGGAATAAAAAGCCTTTCCCCTTTCACCACCACAAAGAAAAATAAACAAGACAGAGAAATGACAGATCTAACCAACCTGAAGCTTTTCCTTCTTAATCTGCCAAAACCTTTTGCCATTATTATTATTATTATTATTATTCCCCACCCATCCTGCTGGGTTTCCCCAGCCACTCTGGGTGGCTTGTGTGTATATATACATATATATATATAGAGAGAGAGAGAGAGAGAGAGAGAGAGTCAAACATTAACAACTTCCCGATACAGGACTGCCTTCAGATGTCACCTAAAAGTTGTGTAGTTCTTTATTTCCTTGACATCTGATGGGAGGGCGTTTCACAGGGAGGGCACTACCACCAAGAAGGCTCTCTGTCTGGTTATTTCCAACTCAGTTAAACTCAGAACAGATCCACTTAAATTAAAGGAGCTTAAGATAGTCATGTCCATTAATTTCAATGAGTTTTCTCGAAGGATGGCTAACAGTGGATCCAACCCATAGGGAACTGTGCCAAATATGAAGAACGCTATGAGAAGCAGGGAAGAGGGAAAACATCTGCAACCTCCCCCGGCAGGTGCAACTTACTTCATCTCCTTTCTCCCTGCCCCACAAGCAAACCCCAGTCAAGTCATCAGCAACAAAAAGTTGCAATACATTTTAGGATAAGTTTATAGAAAATGACACAAATTAAGCTCCTGTGCCCTCTGCTCCCAGTTATAATAACACAGGAAAGCAAACTCAAGTCATGTATACAAGATGTGCTTGTAGAATCTTTATTGTTTAGTGCATACTACCGTATTTTTCGCTCTATAACACGCACCCGACCATAACACGCACGTAGTTTTTAGAGGAGGAAAATCCGTAGACATGCCACCCGTAGGCATTCCCTCCATAACACGCACAGACATTTCCCCTTACTTTCTAGGAGGAAAAAAGTGAGTGTTATGGTGCAAAAAATACGGTATTTATTCTGGAAAACTTAATGTGGCTCATGGGTCAGTTTTCACAGAGCAACTTTAGTAAAAACAGATAGCATTTCCCCACCTTGCCCTATAGGTCCTTGTGCCCTTGCCCTATAGGCCTTCCCTTATAAGCATTAGGAAGCAGCACACCAGCACACCAGTTACATCAACACAGTTATGTAACAAAATATTATGCATGCACTGCAACAGTTTACAGCAGATAAACCAAAATGAAATAGAAATATTAGATCATTTGTTTCACACCTTGCCCTTCTCAAAGATTTAAATTCAGGATGCAATCCTAATTCTACTTACCTGGGAGAAAGTCCCATTGAATTCAGGAGGACTTACTTCTGAGTAAACATGGTTAGGGTTACACTGTAGGATGGTTTAGTTTAGGACACATGTGAGCTTCCAGTTAGATTTACAAATTACTTACCTGCATTGATTATGAATTCTTCCTGGGTGAATGCTAATATAAGGCGACACCGTCTTATCTACGTAAGATCCATATCCAAGTCTCAAATCAAGGGAAATATTTTCCATCTTTTGAGATAAATCAGATCCAACAGAGTTTAATTTTTCTATATTTTTGTGCATAGATGCAGACACATCAACCAAATAATAAAGGTCGACCGGGTACTTTTCCAGTGGCTGGACTTTCAACATAAAACTTGCTTCAGATCCTGATAGTTAAAAAACAAAACTGTAATAAGTATTTCTGAGTATTAATGTTGCATTAAAAAATTCTGCAAGCATATCTTATTTCTAAATCCCATTTATTTTGGCTTATTTACTTAACTATCCCAGGTGCATGCATGTGTGTGTGTGTGTGTGTGTGTGTGTGTGCATGTTTTAGTGTCAATCTGCTGATAGACAAATTTTTGTGTGCAATTTCTGCTATAGGTTTTTGCAAGCAATTTCTTCCAATATAATACATTTCTGTACATTACTTTCACTAACACACACTTTCCCTTAATATACACATTTTGAAATGTTTTATTTAAACAATAAACAATAATTCAAAACACCACATCAATATTATTAAATATTAGAAACATAGGATTTCCCATTGGCAATAGTAATTAATAATTTCTCATGCACTCAGAAAGAAAGAAAAAAGTATCAGAGTCAAATTGCATGATGCATAATAATGTATGTGGGTTTACTTTGTTGTCCCAATACATTACAAATAACTCAATTTTTCTACAATTATGTGGTTGTTGTCTTCCTTCTCTAGCTCTCATCAAATTTTTAATCATATTTACAATCTTCCATATTTTGATTAACCAGATTATAAGTGTTTATAAATGCACTGGTCTATGTTTGTTCCTCCCCAGTCTCTTCCTTCCCTATCTTGCTCTTGCCCGTGGTCTGTTTTAGTTTTCAGCTTCTGGGTGAACAGGGGCCTGCTTTTGCCTCTCAGTATGCCACCATGTGTTATTGATAACCTTGATTGTTTTGCTGTGTTTGTGTGTGTCACGATGAATGCAACCAGGGATTGGAGGAAGAAAGCATAGAGACCAAGGTGGGAAAATCTGCCATCTTCTTTGAGGATGCCCCAGTCCACAGAATTCTGATTTTCCTCCCCACACCCAAGCGCCCAAATTTTTTTCCATGTTTGCAGCCTGTGGATGAGGCTACATAAGTAGGCTGGGTGTTTTTGGCTCCGCACTGTTGTTGTTTAGTCGTGTCTGACTCTTCGTGACCTCATGGACCAGAGCACGCCAGGCACTCCTGTCTTCCACTGCCTCCCGCAGTTTGGTCAAACTCATGTTGGCACCTTCGAGAACACTATCCAACCATCTTGTCCTCTGTCGTCCCCTTCTCCTTGTGCCCTCAATCTTTCCCAACATCAGGGTCTTTTCCAGGGAGTCTTCTCTTCTCATGAGGTGGCCAAAGTATTGGAGCCTCAGCTTCAGGATTTGTCCTTCCAGTGAGCACTCAGGGCTGATTTCCTTTAGAATGGATAGGTTTGATCTTCTTGCAGTCCATGGGACTCTCAAGTGTCTCCTCCAGCATCAATTCTCTGGCGCTCAAAAGCATTCAAAAGCATCAATTCTCTGGCGCTCAGTCTTCTTTATGGTCCAGCTCTCACTTCCATACATCACTACTGGGAAAACCATAGCTTTAACTATACGGACCTTTGTTGGTAAGGTGATGTCTCTGCTTTGCACTACAAGTGGGGAATTAAGAGCTCCAAGGCGCATAGAAAACGAGCTCGATTTGCTGCAAAGATCTCTTTGCCCTGTTCTATTTCAATGGAAACTCTCTTTCCCCCTCTGTCTCCTCATTTCTCCGAACTACTGCCAATGATGAGCAGAATAGGTTAGTTCCCTTTTGGTCCCTTGCATGCTAGCAATTGGATTTTTCCCATCAGCAAGAGTCAAGTGCTCCTCCTTCTGGTGATAAATAAATAGCACACACGAGAAGCCTTGTGAAGCAGAATTCACCACTCTGAAGCTCCTGCTCTGAAGATGAGGACTGCACCAGAGCACTAGATGAGTTAAGAGCCTCAAGCTATGCTCCACTTGTTACCTGGCAGAATGCTACACATCACCTCAGGAGGTACAGGGGTCCTTCTAAAATCTCCAGAGAAGGGTACTCTCCCTAAGCAGTTTATTTCAAAGCATGCCCTGTGTGTAGTTCAAGTTCACTCTCTCTGTGTATACACTGAGGCTGGATCTAGACACATCAAAGAAGCATTTCAGTTTAAAATGTAAATCTAAATAGGGAAAACAGGTAAGAGAAAAACAGGACTCCACATCGCCATCTGGTGGGGCACAACGTCATATCACACATATAACGCATATACAGTGGTATCTCAGTTTTCGAATGTAATCCGTTCCGGAAGACCGTTCGAGTTCTGAAATGTTTGAAAACCAAGGCACAAAGGGAGGACTGCAAATTTAATAGAGAAAACTGAGAAAAACTTAGCAGAAGCCGTTTGACTTCTGAGGCATGTGTGAAAATGGAAGCATTTACTTCTGGGTTTACGGTGTTCAAAACGGTGACAACACGTTCTTCAATGGGGACGTTCAAAAACCAAGGAACCATTGTAAATAATTTTTTTGTTTACCAGTCTAGGTGAGTCACCAGAGCACACCTGATGGCTGAACAATGCAGTTGCTGGCACCTCTGAGATCAGTGGTTCAGAGAATGTTTTAAACTGTTGTTTTTTAAAAAAATGTTTTTTCATTGATGTGTTTGCCATACTAGGATCCTTTGAGAGGAAGGGCATGATATAAATCGGATAAATAAATGTGTGTGTAATACATCTTTAATAAAGAAAAAATATACATGTGGTTAGATCCACAGTACAAAGCCACAATGCTAGGGTATGTTCCTCTAGAAAGAAATTAGGCAGGAATGGGAAGAGGGTAAAGCATAAAGAGCATGACTTGCCAGAGGTTCATTAAATTAAAAAAAATTGTGTGGGGTGTGTGTGTAACAATGGAAATGCCAGAGACAGAAACAACTTAGGAGATGGAGAGGTTTTCAGTACTTTATAAAATAGGGGTACCATTAGTTTATACTGGATTCACTAAACAAATAAATCACAATATTTTTCTAATGTTATCTGTCAAGACACAAGACATGTTGCCAGGTATTCCGGGACAGGCTTCAGTTTGCAATTAAAAGTTTTCAAGTAAACGATTTAATAAATCTTCAAAGGGCAAACATTAACAAAGTTCAGGTCTTTATTCACCTTGGTACCCACCTCTCTTCTCTCAGGGTGCGAAATCAGTCTTGAATTATGCAAAGTAATACAAAACTATGACTCAAAAACATGGATTGATTTGCATACAAATTGTAGCCATTAGTGCAGGGCTGGCAATTTCTGAATGGACCCATTTGTTTTCTCTGTAAATGGGATATCCTTGCTCAGGAAGCGGAGCTACAACTTAGGTTCCGTTCCAGTTTAGGCTCATCAGCATTTCCCAACTCTCCAGTTCACAGCTTTCAGGACTCCAGCTGCTGGACAGGAGCCACCGTTCTGGTGGCAGCTCTTTACTTGGGTAGCCACATAATGAGACAAGCAAACTGCCAATCCCAGAAAGTCCCCCACATTCTCTTCCGCAACGGAACACTTATCCTGCATCCCAGGGGGCGCATTTTATGAACTTTGTTAGCATGCACAGCACTCTGGAAAAGTCAAAGACTTCAGACCCACTTCCCAAACAAGGGCAGCCACTAAGATGACTGACTCCCTGGATGCCAGAATGGGGGCTGTCCTAGTTGTAGGAGGTATAGTTGGAAGGGGTGCCATACCCAATCCAGAAGTATCTATGTGTCTTTCCTGTACAAATCATTACACAACAAACAAATGTCTCAGGCTGAAACCTTGTTTAACTTGGCAGATAAGCAGCATTACTAAGCTTCTCGAGTAATTAAAAATAAATAAAAAATAAGACAGAAGCCTTGCTTGTTGTCACTGCTGGATACTCCCCCTTGAATGGAGAGAATAAAAAGCAAACCAAATTTCCCAGTAACTTGCTCTTTTCATCTCAGCTACTCTCTTTCGGCCTGATTTAGCGTAAATCATTTCCATGAGCAGAATTGTTATTGTCTTTGATCATAACACTATTCCATGGAAGGGATGGTCATGTTTTCCCTCCACATTTGCCAATGCTAACAAGAAAATGGCAATGATACATAGAATATGCAGATCCTTGAAGGATTAAGCGGCTTTGGTTAAGTGGCTATCTCTTGGCATAACCTCCAGCACATAGTTATTGTGGGGGGGAGGGGGGTTAACTTCATACACGAAGTTCCTTAGGGGAATTCCTTGGAGGGATGCAAATGTGAAATGGTGTTTGAAAACCTTTCATCAACTGGCCTCTGCTGTCTTTCAGAAGGGCAGTGGATGAAATCCAGCAACATGTCTCTAGCTTGGCTTGAGTGGTTTTGCTTGCCTACCTGGAGGGATACAGAATCAAGTGAAGACCCATTCACGCATCACTCATGTGAAAGGGGCTTTACAAATATGAGTGGTTGGGCTGCATTGCTGCCCCTGCCCCACCTCCAATGCCCAGGTGTTGAATATGAACATCTACAAAAATGAGAAGTCTATATGAATAGACTTCCAAAAATCAGGAACCATGCATGATCACATAGAAGCCAACGTACATAGGCTCCCTCTTGCAGATGTCCACACACAGCTCTCACGGGTAGGCTAGCTACATGCCATTGGAGTGGGGCAAGTACTATGATGTTGTATTGCTAGTACGTACCATGGTCCTCCCTTCAAATGATTAACATTTGATGGGAGATTTGGACTGCAAAAATCTGGGGCAACTAGTAGCAGCGGCACAGTTTCCTTATGTTTTTGTTAGCGAGGCCTTCAATGAGAATGCAAGAGGGAAGCACAGTCTTCCTCTGGAACAAAAAGCTCCTGCTATAAATGCCAGTATCAACGCCATTAGGCATGCTGCTAACATAATGTGACACTTTGCTCTCAAAGACACAACTACTCTACTTTTTTCTCCATGCTTGTGACAACTGTGCCGCATGAAATATCTATTACAAATAGAAGCTGTGGCTTTCTCAACACTGTGAACTTTCAAGGGGGGCAGCAAAGCCTCATAGCTTTGCTATAGTTTGGACCACCTGCTTGCTTCTAACAAGTGAGGCAGGGCAGAGAAGGGACTGTTGTTCCATGGCACAGCTATGGGGACAAGGCTCTGTAGTTGAGCAAGTGCTAGTACACAGTTCAGCATAAACCAGTTCAGCATAAACTCGACTTATCTTCCACAACACTGGACATCTGCATCAAAGAAACATTAAAAAGCTCTCCCAGTTGTGCTCATGAAGCTGACCTCATTAAGATTCCTGTTTTCAATCAAGGAAGTGGATAGCACTGTATTATACATTTTGCTAGCTTTCAAGAGCACGGAAGAGAAAAGATATCAGAGATCAGTTGATCTATGAAGTCATATCATGACAGCTCACTCTGGAAACTTTCAACCCCTACACCAGCAGATCTACTCTTAACTAAATCTTGCCTGCCACTCATTTCACCAGGGAGATCCGATGTCATGGTGATAACATACAAATACAGTGCAGGGTGATGAGCCGAGGTGAGGCTGGGAAGAGCAAAATATGCATAGGAGACTGGAGGCAGAAGAAATAACAACCTGAAGTTCTTCCTCAGCTCTCACAATGGTTTGGGCAGCTTCTCAGGTCAGGCAATAGCAAAGTCTGAATCAACACAATTATGCTATGTCTGCACTATCTGCAAATAGCCAACTAAGAAACACCTGCACATACGCAGCTAATATTGCCATAGCCTCTCCTTAACTGGTTCTCAAATGAATAGGAGTTCAATGCGCTAACACCACACTCAAAGTTATGTTATTATAAACAAAGTCCACACTTTCAGGCAACTCCCACAGCACAAAATACTTTTGTCGTGAATAAAGTTTTTGTTTCCTTTCATTTAAACCATCCCTTTAAATCCCCAAGAGTCTGGAACACCAGCATTATGAATAAACAATGACTTTTACTCTATTCAGTATTAACATACCACAACAACTGTTTGTGGTGGACCAGGCTTATACCTGTGCAACTCTAATATGAATAAGACCAGGATATGCTCAGTAAATACATCCTGCTCTAATTCTGAGGATTAGCAGCTGGCTCAGTCACATCGTTGCAGGTGACTGGCAGATGTGTTAACTTCCAGTTAAGTTGCTGTGATGCAGGCACATGCCCGTACAAGATCTCTAAGCCCAGAGCGGGCTTGCTGTACAAGTGGCAGAAGAGTGTAATGACAGATCTGATAGTTAGGGATTCACAGAGCTACTAATGGTGAAGATATTCCCCCATCTGAATGGATAGAGGATGTGGTTCATGTGACTGGAGCAACCAGCCGTAGATCGTGTTACTGGAAGCAACTTGGTGGTGGTTGAATTGGGTTCCTTAGCTACCTTTCCTCTTTAAAGGAGGAGTAGCAAAATGCACTTAAAAAATTTTTCATGTAGTCACTTAACGTTATACTGGTAGTGTCTCTGTGTCTTCACCCTGTTCTAAATATTCTCATGTGAATAGGCTCCAAATGGACTGCAGCCTGCACAGATCTGGTAGGGTGCTGTTTTAAGATTCCCCATAGGAGCGAATGGGGAAGACAGAGCTTCATTTTGTATAGAGAAGATCAAAACCTAATCACAGATCAAAGGTGGACAGAGTGACTCGAAAACAGTTTGTAATTTTTAATAAAGCACAGATGCAAACCTACTCTGCACCATCTTGTAGAGCAAGGTTTCAAGGTAAAACCTGACTAAACAAGTTGGATTTCAAGAAGACATGAACAAACAAGGGTGGTGGAATCCACAATGGCATCACAGCCCAGGGGTGTGTGTGTGTCAGGAGAAAAGTGAGGGTGAGGAGAATAAGAGCTCATCCAAAACAGAAAAAACCCCCACACCTGTAGTAGGTATGCTTGTGTTTAATTTGTGATAACGAGACCAGGCAATCTAAGCATACAAAGTATCATTTACAGGATTTGGCTGGGATGAGAGGTAACAGAATACAGACCTATTCACTCATAATTATCCAATTTTGATGAACATTTTAATGGGAGTTAGACAATGGAAATTAGACAATGGATAATGGTGACAAGCCATCTCATTAGCTATTTAAACAGATGCCAAGGCCATAAAAATCGCGGGAGCCAAAACTGCTCCATAGCCAATTTAGACAAAATATAGAAAGCTCACAAGATTAGCATATCCAATAGTTATTTTTTAAATCAGTATGAACTGACTGCTTTCAGTCCTTTTAAAAACTGGGTCTCTAGTAGTCCTCCAGAATTAGGTATTTTTTCTCATTTAAAAAGCAAACGCCAGGCTCTGTGTGAATGCCCTATCTCTCTTGCCTGCTTAACTGTGTCCAATTCAATTTTTTTTTTAAACAATGCTTTCTTTTTAAAAAACAAACCTGGACGTAGTTGGATTGAAACTTCTCCTGGTGCCACTTGTACATTAGAATTACCGGCAGGCATTGTTACACCAGCACTGGGACTTTCTATGAAATCTGCTTTGCAGCCTCTTTTCATTAAGTGCAGAACTATGTCACATCGTTCCTTCTGTTTTGTTCCAGCCATGAAATCCTGTTTGAGAAGAGGCAAATAGAGAGAGAGAGAGGAAAAAATTAGAGAGGAGAGACAAAGAAATGTTTATATTCTGAAATATCATCAAGCATAGCCAGGTAACCAAAAAGTTAATGAAGAACAATGAGGCATGCCAGTATGCCCAAAGGAGCTATAGCAGGTCCAAACTAGACATGATGCCAAGTGACTCATGTGGGCTGCTGTGTGTAGGAGTGGTAGGCAATACTTCCTGGCACGGGCATTGCAGCAGCTCAGCAGAAAGGAGAGGGAGAGGAGGAGGGGTGAGGCGGTTGGCACAGCAACTGCGCACCAGAAGAACCAATCTGGTGCTCCTGCCAGTACATTTGCATCACTCTGAACCTCCTCCTCCTCCTCCTTTTAAGGTGTAGTGATGCCCGTTTCAGGAGGTCAGAGTAGCACCACTGCCCTACCCCACTGGCTACTCCCAGCTGTGGGAATCTCCATTTTACTGGCCAAATACAGACCTGGTGGACATCACTGCTCCCCCAAACCCTATTAGCTATAGGACCAGGCTATTAGCACCTAAAGCAAAGCACCTATAAGCACTCATGTGGACTGTCCTTCCAGGGTTAATAGCTGTTGCAGAGAAGGGACATTTCCACTGGGACCGCGGCAGCGAGGGAAGAGTGCCAACAAACAACAAAACGAACTATGGATACATTTTGCATTATGCCTAGTTGTGCCAAAAAAAGGGACACTTGTTTTTATAACAAAATATTTAAAACAGAAGTTAGGACTAATTGCTATAAAGGTTTCTGGAGGGTGCTTTGGCAGTTTTCATATAACCAAAAAGGAAAAGTGAGCTCATTATGACTTCTTTCTCTCTCTCTATTCTTCATGGCGGTTTTTCCATCTCAGAAATGTTTGCATGTACCAGATCCTCTGACATCAATTACAATTGGCCTTTCATTTAGCCTGTGGCCTAAGACAATCTAGTAAGAACTGCATGCCCAATACAAGTGTTTTTTATTGAACAGAAAACACTTCTGACATCTGAAAATGCATTTTGCTATAAAGCTACATAACTGAATTGCTTTTATTGCCAAAAACCATTTCGGATTTATTTGCTGGAATACATTAAGGGAGCAAGACATAAAGGGGGAAATTCAAAAGGGAGGGAATGTATGGAGAGGCAGGACAAGGCAAGAGAAAGTCTTAAAGAGTATGTTCCCTACACAGGGAATCAATGTTAACCCTACACAGACCAAAAGAAGACTGGGATGAACCACATGCAAATGGAACAGATAAATAATTGGTTCCATTTCTCTTAGTAGTACCCTGAATGGTTACTACTAAAAACTGGAAACATTTTGTGGGAGTGACTAAAGATTGGCTTGGTGTAATCAAATCTGCCTTATTGCCATACTGGAAAAATTAATCCAATTAAGACTAGCTGAGAACAAATTTTAAAGTGACACATTTATGTGTATGTAGCAGAGATTTCTGCTGTTTGTAAATAATGATAATAATATTCAGAGAGTCGTGGAAAAACATGTCAATATCTGGAACGCCTAGCAATCCCCCATAATGAAGTTTTCCCTAGGTAAATATAAAAGAGGACTATGCCTTTTGTTAATATATGACAGAATGTGCTATGCTCACACCTTCTTTGTTTGCCCTCTTACTAAAGTTTGTCTTTCTTACACATAGAGAAAACATGTTTCTTAGAAATTTAAATTGTTAAGGTTTATGGGAAAGTGTGTATTTATGGCATGCAGGAGCACAAAACCCCCAAACTTGTGCAGATCTTGTAATGGACATGGTGACAGTGGGAATGAATGAACTGTCTCCATTCCCAACTGCCATGATTTCAGTTGAATTTCTCCCCAGAGTCTAGAAATACACACAAGGTATCTCCACCTAACTGAGAACCATAGAAAAGCATTATCCACTGAACCTGTACACAGGCTGAATTGCTTCAACAGCAAGCAAATTCACAGTTCTTAGATTATTATTTTTTAAAAAATATGTTATTATTGATGTATTTGCTGTCCTGGGCTCCTTTGGAAAGATGGGATGTAGACTGAATAAAATAATAATGATAATCAAGGAGCAGTGGAAGATGTTCGATAACTATGGCCACAAAATTGTTATTCCAATGTCAGTAGGGATGTTGTTCCCACCCACTCTCTACCAATACAGTGGTACCTCTGGTTACGTACTTAATTCATTCCGGAGGTCCATTCTTAACCTGAAACTGTTCTTAACCTGAAGCACCACTTTAGCTAATGGGGCCTCCCGCTGCTGCTGTGCGATTTCTGTTCTCATCCTGAAGCAAAGTTCTTAACCCGAGGTACTATTTCTGGGTTAGCGGAGTCTGTAACCTGAAGCGTATATAACCTGAAGCGTATGTAACCTGAGGTACCACTGTATATGGAACAGCTACAGGTTTCTAAGGGCCTAAGAAGTGTATGCCCAAGACCCACACACTCTGACTAAAATACGGTCTGCTCAGGCACAAATCATCATTCTTTAAAGCATTTTGTAATGTCCAACTAATATTAAACAGGTTTTAAGAAGCAATTATCAACTCAGGTGACCTGCTGAATATGCATCCACATAGAGGTTGTCAATGGGACGCTGTCCAAATGCTGTGCTATCCAAATGTTGCAGACTACAGCTCTCATCAGTCTCAGACAACCCAGCCAATGGCTGACGGGAGCAGTAGTTCACAAGATTTGGAAGGCACCACACTGGCTGTGCTGATCCATATGGTCTCTATGAGGAGGAATGCTGGAGCTCTTAGAAAGTGCATGTTGAAGGCCGTAGAAAACAATGCAAGAGCGTCACTCTACTCTGCAATCAACCCTTTTATTTTAAAGCTGGATGTATTTCAAAACCAATCTCCACACTAGAGACTCCAACATGTGTATGGCAAATCATATATGGCCCCCAAAATTTTCTCTGCCTCCCTATTATTTTTCTTACAAACAAATAATTAAATCAACTGGAAAGTCTTTGTTTTGCTTCTTAAAGGCCCTTTTTTCGTGCTCCCCCCCTCAGAGGTCAAACAAGCAGCTAGAAGTGTGTGTGTGGGGGGGGGGCTAAACCAATAAGAACCCCACATTCTTAATGTGTCTGTTTCCCCTTAGCAGCAAGCAAAGGATGAAAACAAAGAGGTAAAGAAGAGGGAAAGGCAGTAGGACAAAGGTGTGCTCTGGCAACCCCAGAAATAGCTCCCTTCTGACCTGGCCTACCACTGCTTTGTGCAGGTTAATAATCATCATCATTATTGTAATTATCATCATTAATATAGCCTTAATGAACATAAGTAAAAAACAGTAATGTGTACACAGGAATAAACTGCTCCCCCCCCCTTCTTATTTTGGTCCCCTCTTGCTTACATGCGATGGGCCTGTTACTCATCAAAATACGAAGGTTCAGTTTTTTAACAGTTACTGTACTTCCCCAACAATTGTTGAATTTTCCCTTTTGACTAGGGACTCCTTTCATGTGCACAGAAGCTGAAGACTTATTTCATTTGCATTGAAGCCGCTAAAGCAGACAAAGAAGTACCAGGATGACTAATACGGAGAAGAGAGCTTACCTCTTGAGTACACCATGCACACTCTGGGCCCACAGCAAGACAGTTGGTACACGTCACTGCATTTGAGATGGCACATCTGTTGTCTGCTGTAAAAGATATATATATACACAAGGCCATTCAGCTATTTGCAAACATGTGTGGGAGCAGAGCACAATGTCTAAAGTTAAAAATGTGATTTGAAAGCATAAAACATGAGGTTCTGGGTACTTTGTGGAAAATCAAAGTGGGCTGATACATCACTCCCTAGGAGTTCAGGATTCTGCTCTTCAGTAAGTCACAGCAGGCCTTTTTGAGCTAAAGAATCAAGGTCAGGGAGAAGTGCACATTTTGCAAGGCCCAGAAAACCCTGCTGCTGGCCCTATTGGCTACCACTACTACTAACTGATCCAGTATTAGCGTCATGGACTGGCTGAATGCAAAGGAGTGGTGGGAGGCACCAGCTGGGGAACCCCCAAGGGAAGGTGGCTCAGAGCCCGGGGAGTGGTGGTGGGACAATGAGTGGTCAGAGGGAGCAGATTGGGAGGAGAAGGCATCAGAAGCTGAAGAGGTAAGAGAGTTTAGTGAGTGGTAACATGCTGAAGCAGAGAGCAATCCAGAATCAGGCAGAAGCAGAGGGTGGAGGCAGAGATGAAGAAGCCAAGGGGTCTCCCTTTCCTGCTGCAACCAGCTCCCCTCCCCCCTGGTCTCCCAGAACCAGAAGAGGTATGAAGAGGGCAGAGCAAAGACAGGCAAGGCGGCAAAGTCTCAGATTGCTTGAGAAGGACCTGGGAGAGGAGGAGTCATAGGAAACTGTAGGAAGGCAGTCCTCATAACTGCCTCATTGGGGCAAGATCTGCTGGGAAGAGCTGTTGTGATCAGTAGGCCTGGCCTCCTGAGCTGTCTTGTTCCTTTGAATACAGAGTTAATTTCACTGATGCTGGGTGAGTGATTGCTGACCTGCCCCTGACATCTGCTCCTGACACCGACGATGTCATTCCTATTAATTCTAGCACATGCAGACAACTTGCAGTAGCGGCCGATGAAACACTACTGGCTTCCCAACACAGTGGGTCACTGGCACTTACTGAGACAGAAGGGTGCGAGGTGAAACACTAGACATGTGGCACAGCACATGATGATGGAGCCAATGTGCACATGCCCTGCACCTCGCCCCTTTCCCTCCCCTTCTCGGTAAATGCCAGCAACTATCTGTGCTGGGAATCTGTGAGAGCAAGGATGCCCCACTTGAGGCATCTTCACCATAGGAGCCAACTACTAGGGGCGGAGGTGCCTTCGTCCCCCCAGTAAAATATTTGAGGGGGCCATCTCCAAAGTTGATGGGCACTGCTATTCAAATGGGGGAGTGTGTGTGTGCCATGTCATGTGATCAATTATGTGGGGTGGGGCTTACCTGTCCCCCCACATATTTTATTCAAATTGGCACCCCTGCACCTCGCTGAGCGCTACTATAGCCAAGCACTCAGTTCATTGTTTTCAGGTGGTTAATACAAGTCTACAACAGGAGCAGAAATTAAATCTTTGTTTGTGTGGCATCTGCCCGAAATGGATTTCTAGTGAGATATGGAACAATCCCTCTCAGATTAATAATCCACAGTAATTGGCTGCTGGCAACTGTGGACTACAGTGGTACCACGGGTTAAGTTCTTAATTCCTTCCGGAGGCCCGTTCTTAACCTGAAACTGTTCTTAACCTGAAGCACCACTTTAGCTAATGGGGCCTCCTGCTGCCGCCGTGCCGCCAGAGCCCGATTTCTGTTCTCATCCTGAAGCAAAGTTCTTAACCTGAAGCACTATTTCTGGCTTAGCAGAGTCTGTAACCTGAAGCGTATGTAACCTGAAGCGTATGTAACCTGAAGTGTATGTAACCCGAGGTACCACTGTACCATTATTTCAAATAACTCTATTCCTGATTGATTTCTTATCACATTTTTTTTTTTAAGTGCAGCATGCCATTCGCTATTTTCAACTGTTTGATAGAGTTTTGGAAGGGCGCCCTTGAAATGCAATCTGTTGCTCTTTGTTCTGTCAGTTCTCGAGAGCGTTTAGTATGGCAGCAACAAAGCATTGCTGTCTCCACATCCATAAAGCTAGAGAGGGAGAACTGAAAGCTAGAAGATGAACTGCCATCTATTATGCCAGGTCTTGCACTGAAACAAGATCCTCAGTAACTACAACTGTTTATCTTCACAGTATTTTTTTTAAAAAAAGGCATGTGTGTGTTTCTTTCTGTGTGTAGTAACATTAGATGCAAGAGTAGGCCCAAAGTTTATTTTGCTTTAAGCGAAAAGGTAAACTGTAGTACATTTAAACTGATTAGGGAGGGTATGTGGGTCAAGCCAGAGCAAGAACATTATTCCAAAACACCGATTTGGTAACACCTACCGAGAAACAAAAACAGAAAAATGTTGGGAGGGAAACCATACACTGGTAGCTAAACTGTGTGAACAGCCAAGTCACATACACGGCACAGTTCCTGCTGGGTTTTCGCTTCACAGAGTATGACGGTATTTGTAGAAATCAACAACATACAATACCACACACCTCCATACACACAAAAAACTAGCAGGGCAGGCAAAACAGTTCCCAATAGGTTTTCACCATATCATCATGGAGACACAACTGTGGCTTCTCAAAAACCATGTGTTCTGATGATGTAGCATCCAAAGATATATTAACAAAACAGGCATAGGAACGTAAAGGAACTGCCTCATAGAACGTCTCGCCATACACCCATCTGCCTGATCACTGTCCACAACAGACGTGGAGAACCTTTGGCCCTCCAGATGTTGCTGAACTACAACTCCCATCAGCCCCAGCAAGCATGGCCAGGGGATAGGGATGGGGGGAATTGTAGTTCAGCAACATCTGGTGGGCCAAGGGTTTCCCACATCTGGTCTACAATGACCTTCAGGAGTCCTTCGACCTGAAGTAGCTACCTTCTGCTTGCAAACATGGCACCTCCTCTATAAAGCCTTGGGCTCCCCTTTGTATGCATGCAAGACTTGATGTTACAGTAGACTACACAGAACAATGGTGCTGGAGGAGACTCTTGAGAGTCCCATGGACTGCAAGAAGATCAAACCGATCCATTCTTAAGGAAATCAGCCCTGAGTACTCACTGGAAGGACAGATCTTGAAGCTGAGGCTCCAATACTGTGGCCACCTCATGAGAAGAGAAGACTCCCTGGAAAAGACCCTGATGTTGGGAAAGATTGAGGGCACAAGGAGAAGGGGACGACAGAGGACAAGATGGTTGGATAGTGTTCTCGAGGCTACCAGCATGAGTTTGACCAAGCTGTGGGAGGCGGTGGAGGACAGGAGTGCCTGACGTGCTCTGGTCCATGGGGTCACGAAGAGTCGGACACAACTAAATGACTAAACAACAACAACATAGAACAAAAGAACTCTAGAAATCTCTGCATGAAGCTGCCACAAGTGGTTTTCGCCCAACTCCATTATCCTACCAATAGAACAAGTTTTAGCAAATGACCACACACTAGAGTAGAACAATAACAAGGGGGGAGGGGATGACACCAATATAGCGGCTCAGTAAGTCACCCCCTGTAGGAAGTCCACTTGTCTTGTTTTTTTCTTACTAACATTTTTTGATACATAAGGTTTAAAACAAATGATCTGGTCTTATATAATTTCTTTAAAAACAGGGTTCAGAATCTGTTTGGTTCATAATTTGTTCCAATAACTTCTTATAGAAGTAACATTTACAGACATGCATTCATTCATGAAATATTTCTCACGTAGCTGCCAGTCTATTTTTAAAAAATAAATTAGAACCAAGGCATTACTAAATTAGTTATATCTTTTCTAAAGAAAAAGAAAAAGAAAAACAAACCCCTAACACTAAAGCTAGAAATATTTTTATGAGTTGGCTTAGTATAGGAAAGAGAGTTTTCTTACCATTTTACCAACACAGCCCAGACAAAACTGAACCGTTATGATGCCAAAAGTCAAGAGGCAGGCTTCTACTGGCTTTAGTTAAATAACTGAAACATGCCAAAAAGGTATTTTAAAACAAGACAGGCCATATTTTGGCTCAAAAAAATTACACTGACATATATACATAATAAAACATGTGTAGCTAGTTATACCATACCCAACTGTATATCATATTATCCATTCTAAGAGAATTACATTAAATAAGGCTTAATGACCCTGGCATTGCAAGAAATTAAAGAATTTTAGAATAAAAGAGAGAATATTTCTGGGTCAATACCAAACATAATGCATTTGGAACAGAATTAGGTTATAGGCCACAGAAAGCTCAAATCAAATATTTCATTTTAAGCCCTCATTTTACTGCCCCAACTCAAATAATTAGAACTCCAATGCTCAGTAAATAATTGAGTACAAATTTACCAGCAGATACCAAATCTTAGTGCGAGCCCATGGGAGGAGAAAGGAGTCAAGTTTGCATTAATCTGACTATTGGTACTTTTCTCATTTCAAATTTAAGGCTTACTGAGATGTGGGAAACGGCAAGCAAGGTTTTTTGTGAGTCCCTGGCAAGTCTTGCAAGAGCCCCAAGGTACTTATGTGCACATGTGCAAACAGAGCAGAGCCAGGAAAGAACTCCATTTCCCATAGTTTCCGGTATTTCTGAATACTGAGATATACACATGCAATGCCCAAGGCCCTACCATAAAAAGGTAAAGGTAAAGGGACCCCTGACCATTAGGTCCACTACCATACTAGTTCCCAAAAGTTCTGCCTACAGCCTCTCCCAGGAAGTTGGAGGAAGAGGAATCCCTGTGGGTCTGAAACTGACCCATCTAAAACAAATGTAAGGAGCAGGATTCAAAAACCCAGTGCCCAAACTATCCCATTTTTACGTTCACTCACCACTAGTAATTTGTTCACACTTATGACTGACTGATTTAAAAGTGAACTGTAATAGAGCTTCAACTGAACCTGTATGCTTTTGTTTCCTTGGTTACTTTGAACAAAAATTGAACATTAACTTCTGTGTTAATTATTTGCCTAACTCAGATTCTAAAACAAAGATAGTTTTCTCAGAATCAGAAATTTAAGTTTCTGTTTCAGTTAGATGAACTAACGCTAGTATTGTTTTAAAAATCCACATTTCTACTTGTAAGGGGGGAAAGTTGCTTACATTTATGGATGCACATAAGCAACTGAAGCACCATTCTATAAATCACCTATTAGCTTTTGCGGCCATAACGATACAAGTTAATGTTCCATCATACAGGTTAATGCACATGATAATCTCTGGAAATGTTACCAAGACAGCAGTGAAGCTAGAACACAGCCATAGGGCTAATAGTAATTGGTAGCCCAATTCTCCTTGAATTTTGCTAATTCTTAAAGCCATCCAAGATGGTGACTATGTATTATGACTACAGATTTGCATTTGCCTACCAGATATAGTGTTGTGTTTCATACAGAATCCCAAAAAGAAATCTAACATTACAGATTTAAATATATACAACTCATACCTATAACGAGGAAAGCTTTTTTTAACCTTATGAACAGAATTGTGGCCAAGTGCTTTCTTGTTTCTGGTTCAAAATTTGGCAGGTTCACTAGGTTTATATTCAAATGGAGCCCTCAAAGTGACTCACAACTGCATTTTATAAAATTCACGGTTGCGTTAAAAAAACAGGACAGCCAGCCATCTGGAGTAGAAATTCCTTCCCAGTGTTGATTTCAATCACTGTAGGTCTGCTTTCCAAGAGTGTGGTATGAGTATGTGTTGCTAGAGTTGAGCCCCTTGAAGTCATATGCATGTCTCATTTCCTAAATTTAAAACCGACACCTGCATGAACTCATCTGGGATACAGCACCGCTATCATAATTAAGCCTTTGCCTTTGTCTCCCTTTGCCTGTTTGCTATCCTATAAATTTTAGTTATTTTGGTGTCTGTGCTAGTCTATTTCACTGTGCTCGCAGGCTTAGTTAGGATTTTACACTGCTTCATTGTTTGGACTCACCTGGATAGACATTCCTAACATTCCAATTCTTCTTCTGGAAACATTTTAGCAAAAACAGTTCAAATCAGATAACATCTCTCTAAGAAAAATATTAGGACTTCTCATCAAGGACTGCATGTCCAACAACATGTTTGCCTTTGTGTGGCCTCTGTCATTGGCCAGCTGACAAAGGACCACTAGGAGGCTGTACCCTTTTCTTCCCAGGTCCAATGAACTGTGTTTAAACCTTGGGAAAACTCAGGCCTTTGAGAGAGGTCAGTTACTTGTTCTGGATGGGATTGCACTCCCTCTGAAGAAATGGGTACCTACTGACTCACTTGAAGTCACACATGGCCTTGGTGGCAAAGAGTGCTTTTTATCAGCTTAGGTTGGTGAGGCAGCTACAGGTGTTCCTGGACTGAGACACGTTAGCCACTGTGGTCTTGGCATCAGCAACCTCAAGACTGGATTACTGCCACATGCTCTATGTGGGACTTCCCTTGAACTTAACCCAGCTGGCGCAGGATGCAGTAGCTAGGCGACTGATGGGAGCATCCTGACGACACCATATCATAGCTGTCAACGTTTCCCTTTTTTAAGGGAAATTCCCTTATTCCGAATAGGATTCATTGCAAGAAAAGGGAAAGGTTGACAGCTATGCACCATACAACACCTCTGCTGAGAATGCAGGACTCGCTGCCAATATGCTGCTGGGCCTAGTTCATAATTTTGCTTTACCACTTGAAACCAGGGCTCTTTTTTTCCAGCCAGAACTCATTATGGCACCTCTCACGTGGGTGCCATTGTCATTCTAAGAGAATAAAGGAGGTGTTGACTCTGAGTTCCAGCACCTCTTTTTCTAGAAAAACAGCACTGCTTAAAACCCTAAATAGATTACTTGAGGGACCATCTTCCTTCATATATCCCTGCCTGACAGTTGTTATCCTGGGATGGGGTACTGCTTAAAATACTGCATGGATGTTTGTACTAGAAACTGAGCTTTTAGTGTTGCCTCTGCAGCCCTCTGGAATCAATTATCAGCTGAAATTAGTCAGCTAATGTCATGATATTTAGGTGGCTATTGGAGATGTTCCTGTTTAAGAAGGCTTCCCCCTAATTGTGCCCAGTCAAGTTGTGGAATACTAACCCTAATTGTAGAAAGGGTTTTATTGCTTTTAGAAATGGTTTTACAATTTTGTATTTTATCAAAGTGCATCTTAACTGCCAGGGGTGCCAACTTGAATAAAATATGGGGGAGGGGGGCAGGTGAATCCCCGCCTACATAACTGATCACATGATGTCGTACACACACACCATGTGGCTAGCAATGCCTGTTAACTTGGGGGGGGGGGGCTGGGCCCTCTCAAATATTTTATTGGGGGGGCCAAAGGGAACTCAGCCCCTAGGAGTTGCCTCCTGTGTTTACTGTTTTGACAGCACCTAGGTGTGAAGGAGTTTATAAATAATGTAAAGTAAATAAATAAATAAATAAATAACTCTATCATGGCAAGGAGAGACTAAATTGGCTGCATCCATCATGGAACATTGGCAAGGAGCTTCTTTCTCCCCTCCCTGCAACACCCCCCCCAACATGCTAATGTTACTGCCAGTTACACCTGGGACTGCAAAACTGAAGAGAGGCGCCCCCTGGCCTTTGCCACCAGTCAGGTGCCCTACAGCTACTGGGAGCCTACATCCCTGATTCCCCACAAATAACATTGCAGTAAAGGGGAGAGAAAGTGTGGCCCAAACCACTGGCCAGAGAAAGAGAACTTGCCCCAGTGCTTGCTTTCCTCAGCCTCAGGCAGCAGAACCAAGGGTCAAAGATGCTGGAAGCTGTAATAATCCAACATCTGGCAGGCACTACACTGATTACTTCTGCTCTAAAGACCTACCAAAAAAAGTTACTAGGAATAGAATCGCTGAAGCTGTCAAACGGTGTCCAGTGCAGCTCAACATTAGATAATTATTATGTCATATGCCAGAAATAGCTAATTGTTGGACTTCAGCTTGATCATTGTTACATATAAACTCCTATCTCTTAACAGTTACTAGAATCACAGCACTGATTAAAGCAGTGTGGGCATAATTGCGTTTTCTATTAAACATTTCATTTGATAACTTCCTCATTACTTTTTTTCTTTAAAGAATAAAGTCAAATTATTGTGTTGGAGTGGTTTTGGCAAGTTTTATTGTCCAATGTTCTCATTCCAGCATCAGGTACTTGTTTCTGTTGGCTGAGCTACGCTACAATTACCCTTTAGTTAAAGTCACAGAACAAGAGATTCTTTGTCACTGGGAAGTAAAACTTGTCTTTTTTTAAAAAAATCAGCATTCTGAAGATACTTTGGGACTTGAAACTTTTAATACTGCTTTTTTAATGTTGTATTTGCTCTTATTAAACCTCACATTCTGCCTTCACTTAAAATAAGTGGACAAGAAAAACTGAAATAATTAGTTAAAATATATACATTTTGCCTATTTTTTCTCACAGCTTTTCATTAACATTATGGACACTGGCACAGAAATAACAATTAATGAGCTTGAAGGAACATCATTTTCTATTTAATGTGACAAATGGCCTACTATCATCATACTGTGAAAAGAAGTAGGCTCTGGAGGCAGATCATTGTGTTTCCTTTATCTATATACTGGAGAACAATATACAGGCCGGTTATCTCGAGAGCTGAGCGCATAACAACATATGTTGCAGCAGAGAGGAAACAAAGGTAGACTCTCTGCCGGACTTCTTGAAACACAAAACTTTCTTTAATTTTAAAATGTTGCTCGTTCAGGTGATCAAGCTACAGGTAGATGCTGCCATGCTGAAGGACTGATTCCTTGCAACTGTGGAACAAACATTATGCAACATTCATAAAAGTGCCTGTTCCATATATTGAAGCAGTCAAATGGGCAAATATGTGGTAGGGCAATCTTAGAAGTACCATAAATGGGTCCTAAGCTGTAGAGTGCTTTACATATTAATAGTATTGCATTGATTTTGGCCTGCCAGCAAATGAACAGCCAGTGCAAGTCTCTGAGCATGGTTGTAATATGCTGATAGGGTCTTCTTCCTGCCTGCAATCGTGCTGCAGCACTCTGCACTAACTGTAGTTTCCAGCCCAAGCACAAGGTGAGCCCGACATACAGTGAATTGCGGTAATCCAGCCATGAAGTTACCCGTGCCTGAACTACTGCAGTCAAGCTACCCCAATCTTGGAACAACCTTAACAGTCACACCAGCCAAAGCTGATAAAAGGTGCTCCAAGTCACTGAAGCCACTGGACATCTAGGGATAAAGCAAGATTCAGAAGCTTTCCCGGACTCTAAATCTGCTCCTTCAGAGGGAGTACAAACCTGCGCAGGGCAGGCCATTGGCCAGTTTCTCAGATATAGGAAGTACACTGCCTCTGTCTCTCCAGGATTCAAGCTCAGTATATTTTCCCTCATCCAGTTCACTAGTGACTCCAAGCACCAGTGTAGAGCCTGTACATCTTCTCCTGATTTAGATGTTACGTAGAAATAGAGCTGAGTGTAATCATCATACTAATGGCACCTTGCCTCCAAACTCCTAATGACCACTTCCAATGGCTTCAAAAGGATATTGAATAGTGCTGGGGATAAAATAGTGTCCTGTGGTATGTACCCCACAGCATAAATGCCAGGGAGCCAAAAAGCATTCTTCCAATACTGCTCTCTGGACTTGGTTATGTAAAGTAAGGGTTGGAACCATCATAATACAAGGCCTCCAATTCTCAACTCAGGTGACCCATCCATAGGACACCATTTTCAATTGTATCAAAAGCTACAGAAAGATCAAGAAGAAAGGGCAAGGTTTGACTCTCTTTGCCTCACTCTCGGTAAAGTAATTCACCAGGGTGACCAAGAATGGCTTGGTCCTATAGGCAGTCCTGAACTAAGATTGGAATGGGTTGAGATAATCTGTGACATCCAAGACACTTTACAGCTACTCTGCCACAACCCTCTCTACACAACTTTCCCTAAGAAGGGAGTATTTGCAACTGGTCAGCTGTCCAAACCATTAGGTCTAGGACCAGTTTCTTTTGGGGTAGCTATACTACTGCCTCTTTCAAGATGTCAGAGACACCACCCCCATAACCAGTCTACTCCTCCTCTTCTAGGTATAATAAGCCAAGAGAGATGAGTGAAGAGGACCCACAGTTGGACTTAAGGCCACAAGCACCTTGTCCACATCATCTGGCTGAATCAACCGAAACTGATCCCACAACACGAGACACTTCAATTGGAACAGCTACAGCAGCTGTGTCAAAGTCACTCTGGAGCTGAGCAACTTCATCCTCAAAAAAAAATAATCAACCAGTGGGTCACAGAATCATAGAACTGTAGAGTTGGAAGGGTCATCTAGTGCTTAGAGATTCTTCCTCTACAATGAGATTCAGCAACCTCTGGACCACCCAAAACAACTCCACCTGACCACTAAAGGATTCAGTGCAGGCTGCTAAATGAGCTCTCTCCACGACCCACACTGCCACATGGTAGGCATGATGTGTACTAACTTGTGTTTGGTCAACTTCGGAGTAAGATTTGTGCCACTTGCAGTCTTTGTACAGCCTGCCCAACGCTCTCCAGAATACCTATGAGCCTCTGAGCTCTGCAAGAGCAATCACCTATCATATCTCGCCATTCCATAGCATGACCAGGACTTTGCCAGGATCATCAGCTTTTTTCTGCTGGAAAATCCCCCAGAGCATTCAGGAATCCATCAGTTTATGCACGTGGGCATAACCGGTGCTCTACTCTTACAGAGGATAATTGGTGCCACCAAACCAAACTTCACCAGCTAATGTTCAGACCATGATAAGTGAGTGAATTGTTCGTGCACAATTCACCTTTGCTACATCCCTCAAGAAAAAGCCTAGTTCAAGGGTATGGTCTGATCACTGTGTTGGACTGATGACCATTGGAGAGTTCCATAGTTGTCATGGAGACCATGAAGTCCTTAAGTGTGCTTAATTTATGCTATTAGTTGACTTAGCTTTTCAGTGTGTATTTAAAACAGCACACATGATGTGACAATACAGTACAGTGGTACCTCGGGTTAAGTACTTAATTCGTTCTGGAGGTCCGTTCTTACCCTGAAACTGTTCTTAACCTGAAGCACCACTTTAGCTAATGGGGCCTCCTGCTGCCGCTGCGCCACCGGAGCATGATTTCTGTTCTCATCCTGAAGCAAAGTTCTTAACCCGAGGTACTATTTCTGGGTTAGCAGAGTCTGTAACCTGAAGTGTATGTAACCCAAGGTACCACTGTAGTAGTAACTTTAAAACATATTACATCAGCATTCAATCTCCATTTTACTATTTAAACATCTGACTTCCGTTATACAGCTCTGGAATATAGGTATTCTTTTAGCTATGACTTAAGAGGCAAGGGAGCTTGCCTGAACTGTACTAGGAACCTCTAGTAATAAAAACAGTGAAGGTTTAATTTTGTGAAATAAACTCTTTGTTTATTGAAGACCTTGTGTATTGTCATCTGTATATTAACTAATCTCATCTGGAAGCTGATGATAATCCACATCTTGTTCTCCATTGCCATAATCATGGCATTTGGGATAATACTTAACTGAAAAAATAGCTCCTGCATAGGGTCTTATGTAAGATTTCTAAACTATTATATCCAAGGAGTTGTATTATTGGGATTGGAGGATACAGATCCCAGAAGTTAAGCTTGTCTGGGGCATCATGCTTCAAGTGTCATTAGGATCAGATAGCATCAGACAGATCAGAAGACCCAAATATTTGATGGTATCTTTGGACTAATCCAGGGAATTTACATCTAAAGTCTCTTACCCATAATATGTAATCTCAAGCTTAAACTGACTCAACAGAGTTCTCTCTCTCTCTCTCCACCAGCCCTGCCCAAGACTTGGGAAGTGCAAGTTAGAGCACATAGGCCAAGAATTAAACCAGTGTTTAAAACCCCCATTGTTCTCGGCACATTTTGCAACAGAATTTCATTAGTGCAAGAAGTTTCTGAGCTCTGGATGCAGTACTGTGTTTAAAATTTCAGATTAAAACTACAGAGCGGAAGGAAAGGAGGACCTTTTTCTGCCTCCCCACTTCCAGCTACTCACTGAAGACTAGAGAAGAGTCCCTCTTAAGAATATTAGGTGGGTGGGCAGGATAAGGACTAGACCATGTGAAAAATTAACATAATATTTTAGCTGCAGTTCATTCATTTTCAGCTTTATATTCTTGTTAAAAAAAAGCATGCCTTGACATTCAGTTGTTGCACCCATAACCTAGGTTTAAGGTGTCATTTAGCTCCTAGCTTTCACATCTAACTTTCCAACAGTGAACTAAATGTATCTGCATCTTAAATATAAGTCTCTAAATATGAGGTTAAACTATAATATATCCCTTCTTGATTACTCATGCAAACCAGAAGCAAAGATTTAAGCAGGATAATTACATTTTACTAAGTAGTAAGACAATGTGAACAACTCATCACATTTGCAAGAACTCCCCTGACTGCAGTAGCTTCTCTGTTTCAAGAGTGACTCTTTGCCAGATCCACACATGCATTCCTTTACCAGCGCAAATCAGGATTCTCCACCAACATGATAAATAAAGCCTATGCATATCCCAGACTTGTGGTGGGGTGTATGAGATCTCTAGAATGGGTGTTTGGGTTACCTGTAGTTCTTTATTTCCACAGGCTTTCTAATGTGCGGAATGCATTTCAATTCTTCTCTTATTTTCTCGCTCGAAGAAATAGACCTAGCTAAAAGACAATGACTTGTCCAATACAACCTAGTGATTGTCACGGCTGCTCAACTTGAGTCCCCTTATGTCCAGAGACCTCGTACTGTATCATATTAATGCATTATGAAACAATGAGCAACATTTAAGAGAGCAATGCAGGATTATCTTGGCCCTAGCAAGCAGAGCTACTAACAAATGTAACTTGGGTCATGCAGGTGTCCAGCACAATTTACAGAGTTTCCCAGCCTTGCTCTTGAAAGCCACAAGAGAGAGATCACATGGGGTTACTTGTGCTTATGTGTAGGCTGGAGGTCAGAGAAATTGTTTTTAAAGATGTGCTTAAGGAAGGGAAAGGAACTAAGGGACTTGTTTGTAATTAGGCCACACTGTCTAAAATATTTGTGTGCATTACCAACCCTGGTCTGTGATTTAACTTGCGTCTCTCATCTGCCTGACAACAAAATGCTGTGTAACATGAAAGCTTATGCATTCTTCTTAACAAAAACCCCCCCAAACCAATACAAATACCACCTACATATTTTCTATTTCTGTAGCTTAAACAGCAACAATAGTTTCTACAGAACTCCACCCAGCCTTTTATTGCAACTCTTCCTCCATTGTTATTATCATTTTTTATTATTATTTCAGGGAAGGGCAGAAAAAAATGAATACACACGCCTTATCTCTCAGAGATTTTGGCTCAGCAATGGGCTAAATGCATATAATGGAAAAATTTAGCGCACTTGTCCTGTTTACAGCTGCCTTGTTAGGCTTCACTCTGCAGAACGAGAGAATAACTGTACACTCTCCACTGAAAGGTTACTTCTCAGCATGTGCTATTTATTACAGGAGCAAAGAGATGTCTGCATTGACCCTTTTGCCCAATTATTCTCTCTGGAGTGTCAGAAGAATCTGTTAAAGCAACAAAGAGTCATGCGACACCTTAAAAACTAACCAATTTTATCACAGTGTAAGCTTTTGTGGACTTTTGAGTTTACTTCATTAGATGTGTGAAGGATTATCTTCAGTTAGGTTTATATATAGATGGGTGGAGAAAGAGGAAAAAGTTGCGAACAGTGGAGTCAAGTGACAAAGGAGTGTAAAAAATACAGTCTGGGACAACTCAATTAACATGAGTTGCGAAATAAGCATAATGACCATTCACAAGGACGATCACTGGCAATAATACACTCATATTTGATTTTGCATGTTAATTTAGCACCTGTATTTGGATAGTTACACATGAAGAACATTAAACTGCAGTCAACTAAGGGAAGGTCCACAGCTCAGTGTTACAGCGCATGCTTTGCATGCAAAAGGTGTTATCCCTGCCCTCTCCAAGTAGAGTTGGGTAAAGAATCCTGTCTAAAATCTGGAGAGTTACTGCCAGTCAGCGCAGACAATACAGACAGTGAAGGATCAATGGTCTGACTCAGTATAAGACAGCTTCCTATGTTCCTATGGCAGTGGAGCCAGATACACCTGAAGGATGCTGCAGCCACCTGACCCGCAAGCAGATGATCTGGTTGCAATATTAAACATGGCTCGGAAGTTTTCATAAGAGCTGTTAGGGATGAAATGGTTATTCCCCCTCACTGCTCACAAATTACCTCCTGCGGAGAAACTCCAAAACCCAGAGTTGGGTGGAAACTTTTATTACACCCAACCCAGCCACTAAAGGTCACTTCCTATGTCTCCCTCTCCCTACATTTTTGTTTTTACTTCTGTCAAATAGCTTTCTAGGAGCAGATTCTATTGAGTGAAATGGACCCCGCCAAGGCTGCATCCTGGCCACTGAACTCCTCAGGGCTGAGGTGCCTCGATCTTAAAGATGCTTCGGTGCCAGGTAAGTGCGAAACCGGATCGCAGCCACCAGAGAGTCAGGTGCAGCAGCGTGGAGCTGGCGCGAGTGCCTGTTCCGGAAGGGAATAGACCAAGACCCAAACTTACGGCTCTGGCCCCAGCCCGGCACAAGGGCAGCGAGCAGGCAGGCGAAGCCGAGGAGCGGGCCAGCACCTCGCGGGCGTTTCTGCAGGGCGGCGAGCCCAGCCGTCAGGGAACAACCCAAGAGCGGAGTCCACATCGCGCCAAGCGGGCGGCCCTTCGCCCCGCGCCCGGGGCCCGACCGAGCTCTCGCCTGCGGGGTTTGGACGAAGGGGGCGGCGGGAGAAGCAGCCGCCGCCGCCACCACCGCGCAGGTAAGGAGCCGAGGAGAAGCGACGACGGCAGCAGCAGGCGCAGCGCCGCCACATGTCAGGGCGAGCGCGGCGGCGCCCCCCCGTCGGCCGAGCCCGGTGCAGCCCGGCGAGGGCAGCAGAAGCGGCGCGCTGCTTTGCCGGAGAGCCTCTCCATCCGCCTCGGCCCCCCGGCCCGGCTCTCCCAGGGAGCCGCCGCCGCCGCGGCTCCTTCACAAAAGGCTTTTGTCTCGCTCCTGGCGCCCGGCTCCTTGGCAACGCGGAACAAGAAGCAACAGTTCCCAGCCGAGAGGGAAGAAGGGAAGGCTTGGAGGGCGGCGAGGCGGCCGAGGCGTCCGAGCAAAGCGTGCCGCCGCCGCCGCCGCCGGGGCTTCCCGCGCCCAGGCCAGCCGAGCCCCTGTGGTAGCCGCGTTCCGCTCTGCCTGGCGGCGAAGCGTCAGTCTCGGGGGCGCGGGATGCTGCCAGGCAGGTTCCTGACGAGCGAGGGCGGGCGAAGGGGGTCGCGTGGGCGGGACGCGAGGGGCGGAGCGCGCGCAGCCTTCGCCCACACCGCGCTTTGTTTTGTCGCGCTCGGCATCGCCGGCTCCATTGTTCCCGGCGGGAATGCGCCTCCGGGGGCGGGGGCTCGGGGGGCGGGGGCGGACGAGGGGGGGGGGCTCCTCAGGCCGAGCTCCGCCCCCTCCCCTCCCGCGCCGGGGCTTGACAGGCAGTCCACGTTTCCTTCGAGGTCAGCCGGACCCCGAAGCCGATCAAAGTCCGGTGCGAGGATCCACGAGAGCCAGGAAGCACCGGCGGGGGATTGGGATTTAAGGGGGCAGCTCTGATTTCTGTTACGGTTCTGTGCAGGATTTGGGGAATATAAACAATGGGAGTTTCTGCCGCCTTTTTCTTCTGCCGCTGCTCGAAATGACTTGTGCAGAAATTCGGTGGAGAGTGCTATGGTAAAACACGTAACACAGCTCTACCCGGCTCTGAAACTTGAGGACGTGTTGCCTCGATGCACGTGCAGTTTTGACGAAGCTGCACCTGTTGAATTCCTGCCTGTCGTGTCGCTGCTGAAGCTGCACCGAAAACAGGATAAGCTGGCAATTGGTGGGAACAGGCGGGAACTTCTTAGCAAGCAAGTCACAGAGCCTTCTTAACGCCACCACAAAAGCCCTTTCCCAGAACTGGAAGCAGCAGGGAGTGGTGGGAGAATCCTGAATGACTGCATTCTGCACCATGATATGAGCTGATCCTTCATATTAATAATTTGCAATTCCAAGGAAGAGTCTTGACGCAAACCGGTTCTGAAGCTGAGCCTTGGGGTGGGGCCTCAGTTGAACACACCGTATTCATTTGCTTGGCTTTGCCCTCTGCTCGGTTTCAGTTTTGCCTGTATTCTGGCCCTGAAGCTGAGGCTGCAATCCTAATATAATTTACTTGACAGCGAGATCCCCCCCCCCCCGCAAGCCTGGGGTGTTCAAAATGAAGGTGACACTCAAACTCTCTGTGTTATTTTAGGGCAGGCAGAAATGAGAGGTATGAACATGGCACTCTGGTTAGGAATCTGTTTGGAGCAATTGTTTCATGTTGCTTCAGGGGAAGGCTAGCCCATACTCTTACATCACTCAAAGTCTTAATAGCATTTTTATAAGCCCAGGTCTGGGCTTATTTTAAAACAATGTGGACTATTCATCAAGCAGCACAATTGTTCATGCTACGATTGCAATTGTTTGAGACTTTGCTCCCTGTTGCTGGGAGAATGGAATGGAAAACAGTTGAATGTTCAGGGAGTGAGGACCCCACAACTCCATGCTGTCAGTCCCTCCCAGATGCCTTTTGAAGCTGCCTCCCAGAGAATCAGATAATCTTGCCCGGAGTTGCTTCCCAAAGATCTCAAGGTCTTTCTCAAGTCTGCTACTCAGTGGCATAGCGTGGCTTACCAGCACCCGGGGCTGCGTGGATGGGGGTGAGTGTGAGGGAGAGAAATGGACAGAGAACGCATGCACATTCAACTGCCTAACAGTGTCTGGATCACCTACGAGATTGCAGCCGTAGAGATAAGTAATTCTGTCGTCTGTAGAGGACACTTCCTGGTCGCATGGTGAAGTCGTTTTCAACAGAGCCCAGCAACGGAAGCACAAAGCTGTATCGCGGCAGTACTGGGTGTTGAAATTTTGCACCCCTCATAATTTTGTGCCCGGGGCAACTACCCTTATGCCCCCCTCCATGCCACGCCACTGCTGCTACTTGAGAAGATATTTCAGTGGAGATTCCCTGGACTGACCTGGGTGTAGGGGTAAGGAACCTCCACTCCGCATGCCGAGCTTGACCCACCTGATCTCCCTGTTTGGTCTGCCAGGTCTTTTTCTTAAACTACAGCTGCCTGCCCCTGTCATATATGCAGGGATGCCATGGACCTCTTGGCTCTGTCAGGATCTGGTATGGTTTGGCAGCACCAAATGCAAGAAAAAAGGAAGGAGGAAGGAGGAGGTAGTGGGCTGGTAAATAGGCACCAAGTGATGGAGGAGGAGGTCCTCTGTTTGGGGCTCCAGATGTCAAAGAGGGGGAAGCAGATCTGGCTTTCTGCCCCATCAAGCAGGTGAGATTGGATACACCAGCCAAGCTCATTGCCAGGTGGGTATCTGATTGTATTCTTTATTCTAAACACAGGGTGCTGAAATAAATCCCACTGAGCTCAATGGGGCCTTTATATAATGTGTTTTAAGTCAGGGATTGTGGTATGCAACATAGGCCACTTCTGGACTGTTGCTATTTTGTGGATGAGATTCAGTTGTATACTAGTAAATTCCAGTTGCGTAATTAAAGCGGATTTTGCATTCTTGTGCAAAATCCGCTTCTCTCAGCCTCTCTCAGCCCACACCAATGGGATTTTGTGCAGTGAGTAGAGTGATAGGGAAAGGCAATGAAAAGCAATGGGACGACAGTTGTTTGACAGCAGTGGATGTTGCACAACCTCCCTGCAAACTTTGTGCAAACAAATGCTCAATAAGCAGGTCATCTGGAAGCAATTTACAGTCCTTGTTTCCAGTGTCCTTGTAGTCATGTTGTTAAGTATTATAATTTGTAGATAAACAAATTAAGATTAGATCAAGGTAGTTTCCAAAAGCACATCTGTTGATGGTCAAGTTTGCTTAGAAGTCATGCCCCCTTATCCAGTATATTACGTCATTCACAGGCTGTCTATCGTCTAACAAATGAAGCTGCTTCAGACTATTTATCAATCTAATCCATTATTGATTGGCACCAGCTCTCAGGCCAGGGTCTTTTTAAAAACCGGAGGTGCCAAAGATTGAGCATAGCATCTTTTGCACAGAGAGCAGATGCTGTTCCTCCAAGCAGTGGCCCCTTCTCATATGATTTCAGAGGATTGTATGCAAGAATTTCTTGAGGTTGTGTGCATGTACAGTTTTTGCTGGTGGAAGCGTTTGGTCCACAGGCTGAACGAAACTCTGGGTTGTTTATTAGACTCCACGAAGCCTGTCTGGCATTGTTAGCACCTGGGGTTAGGACATATCAGGGATGGGGAAGCTTTTTTAGCCCATTCGCTTCTGGGCAAACCTTTCAGGACCACTGTGCCAGTGGTGGGAGGCACCAAATTAAATTGTGGGCAGAGCAATGAATACAAATGCTACTTTTGTCAGCAGGCCAGTTTCTGTACCAGTGGTGTAGCATGGGGGGCACGGGAGATTGCCCCGAGCACAAAATTGTTTGGGGGCACGAAATTTCAACAGCTGGTGCTGCCTCAGTACAACTGAGTACCTCTGTCACTAGACTCCATTGAACATGGCTTCTCCATGTGAACCAGGAAGTGACCTCTCCAGACAACAGAATGACTCTTCTTATCTCTATGGCCATGATCTAGGTGATGGTGACGCCATTAGGCAGTTGAATGCACATGCGCACTCCGTCAGTTTCCACTCCAAGTAGTCCCAGGCGCTGGCAAGTGCCATTGTTCTGCACACACTTACATGACCCTCTCTGTTCTCCACCCACCCATATATCAGAGTTCAAGGACACCATCTAGCCAGGCAAAATCACTTGCTGACTGGGGATGGGATGGTGATGGTGGCCTGGGAAGAGTCCAGGATTTGAGTTTCCCTGCTCCAATGTATAAAATGGCCACAAGATGATGTAAGAACAATAGCTGAAAGATAGATCCTTATGTACACTGTTGCCAGGTCCTCCCTACCCTCTTACACATGAAGGCAGCCTTTTCATAAAAGTTGGTAAATGGCCATGAACTCTTTTCCACCCACTCCAAGTGCATAATAAATCTTATCCTTTTGCTCTCCCTTTCATTTTCCAGAGTATGGTTCCGTTCTTCTAGTTATTTTTTTTTGTTTAACCCAAGGATGCCTTCTCAGCAATGGGTGATGCATTCTCCTCGGTGCGTAATCCACCTCCTGCATATCATTCTTTAATATTTCAGTAAGTGTTTGATTTGGACTGTCTCAGATTAAGAATGAAAAAAGAAAGAAAGCACAAAACCCACGGAGCTGCCAGTCAGCTGCTCTTCTGAGTTTCAGTTTTTCTGTTCTTTCGGTGACCAGTGAATACATAGAAGGACTCAAAGGTTACTTGTTGCAGCTGAGTAAGTGGAAAGTACCTTCATTTCAAGCCAAGGCAAGGTTAGGAAACTCCCCCCTCCCTGTTTCTTTTCAGGTATGTTATCTGACTAATCATTCACTGACATCACCCTTTACTAAGGGCATCACATTTTATTCAAGGGCAATGCTATTCTGTTTAGTTTCCAGATGACAGAAATCTGGCGGCAACACGTCCAATTCCAAAACTGTCCACATTTTGCATAACCTCGAAATGTAAGGCTGATGCTTGGCCAGCCTTGGCCAACTTGGTGCCCTCCCAATGTTTGGACTACATAGCCCATCAGATGACAGAGGCTGATGGGTGTTGTAGTCCAAAACATTGGGAGAGCACCAGGTTGGCCAAGGCTGCTATAGACTATTTGCCCTACATGCCATTTTGATTTACTGAATCACACATTTTGAAAGGGCAGAATCATGAAGCTGAAACAAAGAAAAACTTAGCAGCTGTAGGCCATTAGGGTCAGTGTGGTGTAATAGTTAGAGTGTTGGACTAGAACCTGAGAGAGCAGGGTTCGAATTCCCCACTCAGCCATGAATCTCACTGGGTGACCTTCTTAGCCTAACCTACCTCACAGGGTGGTTGTGAGGATGAAATGGGGAGGCGAGCTGTGTACACCAACTTTGAGATCCTTGGAATATAAAAAGTGGTATATAAATGTACTACTACTACTAATAATATTTAAAGACCTTTTTATTATTAAGTTTTTACATCACATTTAAGGTACATAAAAGTAAACAGAACAATAACAACAAAACAAACAAGTATTTTTAAATCAATGGCAAGCAGGTTCTGTATCTATGTCAAATATAGTCCATAATTTTCCAGTTGTGTGTGGGGTGTGTGTGTAGAATGCCCTCAGATTTAGTTACGTGCTCAATAAATTTATACCATATGGCATGATATTAATCTGCTTCCAGATTGTTTATTTGAGCCTTTTACTTTAAAGGTAAGATGTGAGTGAGATCTGTCTGCGACATCTGTCACCCCATTGATCGCCAGGGTTGATTAGGCTGATCTGGCAGCTAGGTGGGTGTCCCCTTCCTCCCTCACTGCTCCTCCTGTGTCCCTCCTGAAGCTGTGTGCTCGGTGGACAGCAATCCCAGTTTGAAGGAGTGTACCGTTCTTCGGTCAAGGGTATGCGATAGCTGCACTCCCCTGCTAGGACCTCCAAACCAGCTCAGTGTTCATTTGTAGGAGAATATAGGGTAGTGAAGCTTCCAAGACTCCTGACACATCCAAGTAAGACACTGCATGTGCCAGTTTGCCATTCTTTAAGAAGAAGAAGAAAAGGTAAGATTTTCCATCAGAGCAATTTGCCACATTTCCTTTTACAGTCATACCTTGGGTTACAGATGCTTCAGGTTGCGTTTTTTTGGGTTATGGACCCGCCAAAACCCGGAAGTACCGGAACCGGTTACTTCCAGGTTTCGGGGGTCGCGCATGTGCAGAAGCGCTAAATCGTGCTTTGTGCATGTGCAGAAGAGTCGAATTGCAACCCGCGCGTGCGCAGACGTGCTGTTGCAGGTTGCGAACGTGCATCCCGCACAGATCACGTTTGCAACCCAAGCGTCCACTGTACCACAGACTCAGCAGGTTGGAGTGTGACTGCTTTTAGAAACTGGAGATTATTAATCTAGCTGCCACGATAAAGAAAAGTATTAACTCTTTAAAAAGATATATTGGTCGGCAGTGGCGGAGCTACATGTTGCAGCCCCCAGAGCGGAGAACAGGCGTGGGCGTGGCTGGCACACATCCCGGGGGCATGACGTGTGTCCGGGGGGGGGGGGGGCGGACGCGATGGCACCCTTTTCCCAAATGGCACCCAGTGCAGGCTGCTTCCCCCGCCCCCACTTTTGTCCACCAGTGTCACTCAGTAGAACATAAGGTTCTTAATCTCAGGGTTGTGGGTTTGAGCCCCACATTGGTAAAAAAATACATCCTGCATTGCAAAGGGGGTTGGACTAGATGACCCTTGTGGTCTCTCCCAACTCTACCATTCTATGATTCTACAAAAAATTGAAAATTATCAAAAATAGACAACAATGGCAATTGAGGGCTCACTTGTATATTTGTATATACATACACTTGTATATTTTGGCCAGTTGTTTGCGTTATTTCATTAAAAACCTCTGACCAGCATTTATGGCCAGGACTCTGCTTGCTCAAAAATGGAAAGATGACAAAACACCGACCAAAGAGGACTGGCAAACCGAGATGATGGAATACGCAGAAATGGCGAAATTTACAGGAAGATCAAGAAATAAACAAAACAGAGACTTTTAAAAAGACTGGGAATTACCGTATATATGTTGCATCTGCATAAATACTGTAATGAAATATACTCGCCAGCAGAGTTTGAGTAAACATGTACAACCACGAAAATGAATGTAAAAGATAAGGAACAATGTTTTGAATATAATTAAGTATAAGAAGTACTTTTAAAGAGATGATTTAAAATGTTAAGAATGGGAATGTTTTTAGATAAAAGAACATGAAGTTAAGATATAACAATGTAAGCAGAAGGACTATATTTACCAAAAAAACCACACACATAAGGCTAAGTTGAGGGAAGGGGGGTGGGGGGAGAATGGGTGTGTGGGTTTTTGTCTTTTCTATCAATTATATATTTTATGAGAATTTTAAATTGTATAAATCAATAAAAAAGTAAAAAACAAACAAACCACTGACCAGCATTTGAATGTTTCTTTGCATGACCAATTGTAAAATGTACCAATTCCACCACAATTTCTCCATCATGGGGGGGGGGGGAGGTGTGTGTGTTAAGGATGCATTATTTCTATTCAATTTTTATAAAAACCTTTTATACTTTTAACTGAAGATTTTTTTTATTACAGCTTTTGAACAATTCAATTAAAGTGTGTAACCAGCAGCCAAAACATGAAAATGTAAAGGGTGAGTCAGAATTGAGAAGGGAGACGTGAGTTATTTTGACAAGATAAACCACGGATGGGGCTGCTCATGGGTCACTTTTGGGGGGGGGGGGACATGCCAGTTTTGATTGGGGCCAGAGGCGCCAAGCAGAGCAATGGATGCCGCTCTTGCTTTTGTATAGTACCATACATTCCACCAATGCAAAAGCAAAAGGTTTCAACAAACACCCCCCCCCCAATTTCTTCACCCTCGATACAGGCAAGCGAGAGACATTATCACAATTCAAGGAAAGATTCCAGCCAAACCAACGTGTGTGTGTGGGGGGGGTGCAGTCAGGACTGGTGAGAGTGTGGCCTAAGGATATAGGGGTGGGGCTTAAGTAAGTCCCAGAAGCTACATTGAGTCCCCGTTGTTAGTTAAATTAATAAATATAATGTACTACTGGCTTATTTATTACATCTTAATCTGGATGCATTTCTCTCTGAGTGCCTCACCAGGAGACACCTATGTCGTCTTTGGAAAACTAGCTCGAAAGGAGCTACTGACCCCTGCAATAACCATAGATAATTTCTATTATTTGGTTTAGCAGCAAGGGCCTTCTATGGCCTGTTTCAAACTATACCATTGCTGCTGCTGCTTATTTTTATTGTAAACTGCCTGAGGGCCTTTTGGAAAGGTGGGCTAGAACTCTACAAAATAAACAAAAACCACATAATTTTTGTTTCAGGATAGAAAGCTGCTCTTTTTTCCTGCACATATATGCGCAGAGAGAACCCCCCCTCCCTCCCTCTCTCTCCCTCTCTCTCTAATTTCAAGTGGAAGAGCTGCCATATGGCCTGCCTTTAAAAATACACTCTGGCCCCCATCCAAAGAAAGTTAGTCATGCTTCAATCCCATTGAAACCACTGGGAGAAGATATTTTGCAGCTAACTTGAATCCCACCACTCTCAATAGAGCTCTCCACCCGCTTTTTCCAACTCTGATGTTTGCTCTCTATTCTTCCATCATCCCACCCTGGCATTAAGGTAAGTTTAAAGACATTTAATTTGCCTTCAGCGGAAGCTTGCTTTGGATTGCCAAGGCGCCATGAAGTGCTTCAGGGGTCCCTGCTTGGACTCGCTTCATTGTACAGATCCTGCTTCACCTCCAATAAGCCGAAAATCCCTCTGAGATGCAGTATTCCACTTCTCTTCAGCAGCTGAGATTCATCCAAACATAATGCACACTCCCGGCAAATATTCTCATAACTGAAGACCACCAACCCCAGTATTTTATTTTATTTTTAAAAAAACTTTACACAGGTATATTATGTAAGAATGTAATCAACATGATTACATTACGATTGCAAGAGGCAATGATTGTATTTATCACCATGTTACTATCTGGAATAGTTCATCATTGAAAATAGTTCTCTTCTACATATTGCACGCTATTCTGCCCACACATGTTTATCATCACTGGGCCATGGAAGCAGGTGGATCTTTGAACTATATCTCTACATACAGTAAAAGTACTGCATTTCCTCCTCGTGGTTTTAGCACCTTTTCAACTCAAAATTCAGAACAGGCCTTTGTAAGTTGCACTTCTGGAGCTTTACATATGAAGCAGCTGCATATGATATTATTATTGGCAATAGTATAGTGGGTAGGAGAAGGAACAGGCCACAGCGATGTCTTGAGCCCCCTTGCCTAATACGAGGCTGGATTCCATAACCAGCAAACCTTATATATCATCTTGTTAGATTTACGTGTGGTGTAGTTTATGGATATATTTATACCTATGACAGATTCATGTCGACACACCTTATTAGAGAAGCATAGAATTGTACAGTTGGAAAGGACTACTGCTACTAGCCCAACTCCTTGCAATGTAGGAATCTTTTGCCCATTGTGGATCTTAAGCCCTTGACCCTGCGATTAAGAGTCTCATGCTCTACCAACTGTACAGGTTTAACATCAGATTTAAATTGCATCCACATCTCTTCCCCATCCATACTTTTCAGATTTGCCCTCCATTCCTTTAATTCCATTCCTCTTACCAGTATTCTCCTCAACTATTGAGGTGCAATAGTTGCTTGAGCTGCTGCAGTTACCAATACTGTTCTGCGCCAGGCAAAAGGAAGAGAGAGCAATCTGTGTCTGTCCCTTCCTAAGTAACCCCCCTGCTCAGCCCCACACAGTCTACAAGAGGGTACATGGCTGTACCAGCCAGTGCAGCTCCCAAAAGACCTCCGGCAGGGCAGCAAGCTCGAGGGCATTAGCGCTGCCTTGTTAAATTGTCTCTGAGTTTTACAATCAGATTGAAAGCAGCATGGGCAGAGATAACCTACTTTTAAAACAAGGGACAGTGGAGGAAAAAGGAATAGAAAGCCTAGGATTAGTGGAGCTAGGAACAAACCTAGGGGAAGGATAAGAGGCAGAGAGCAGAGAATGACACTTCTCCAGTTATCTAGTTATTTCATAGCATGATTCAGATATAGCTTCATCATTGTGCACAGTACTTGACGGAGCACAATGGACTAGTCCCTGCCTGGAAGAGCTTACTGTCTATAACATTCAGCACAGAAGGAAAACAGAGGAAAAGGAGGGAAGTGGAGGCAGGGGGAAGCAGGGAAGCAATATGTGGTTCTTTCAGTTATATGCATTAAGACTTAGGGATTTAGTTGCAGGAGGGCCTGAGACTCAAGGGTGTTGTGTCGTAAAGGTAAAGGTAAAGGGACCCCTGACCATTAGGTCCAGTTGTGACTGACTCTGGGGTTGCGGCGCTCATCTCGCTTTATTGGCCGAGGGAGCCGGTGTACAGCTTCCGGAGGTCATGTGGCCAGCATGACTAAGCCGCTTCCGGCGAACCAGAGCAGCACATGGAAGCGCCGTTTACCTTCCCGCCGGAGTGGTACCTATTTATCTACTTGCACTTTGACGTGCTTTTGAACTGCTAGGTTGGCAGGAGCAGGGACTGAGCAACGGGAGCTCACCCCGTCGTGGGGATTCGAACCGCCGACCTTCCGATCAGCAACTCCTAGCGCATAGGCAGTGCTTTTTTCGGGGGGGGGGAATGCAGGGGTATGGATACCCCTAAACATTTTGTGAATCTTTGTGTTTTTGTCCATTTACTGTATTTATTTCGCCCGATTTGAACTATAAAGTGGTGATTTTCCCGAGTCAAAATGAGAGTACCCCTAAACATTTTTTTTTAAGAAAAAAAACACTGGTCATAGGTATCGCCAAAAAGGTGAATCTGGAGGATGGATTGTAAGTAAGGGTGGCACCACACAGGTGTTACTTTTTTTGGATATGGGAAGGTACTGTTGCTACTTCCACACCATCATTTCCATCCTGTTGTCGTTGCATACTTGGTGCCTGTAAGGTGCTCTCATTATGTAAAAGGTGAAGGTAAAGGACCCCTGGACAGTTAAGTCCAGTCAAAGGTGACTATGGGGTGTGGCACTCATCTACAGGTAGCATGACAGCATCCCTTGGTAGATTGCCTCAAGGTGTACTCAGTTCTTCAGGTTTCTGAGCAATTTTAATAGGAGAACATGGTAAGACCCTAATTGGCATATAGCTCAAACTGAAGTTGGTGGCCTGGATTGCTCCTGTTGTTGTGGAAATGGTGGTGTTTTATATGGATCTTAATATCACTCATCCTTTTTAGTGGGGCCACTTTTGCTTCATCCAAGTATGTCCACAGGGAATTCCATCCCTGAGTCAAACACGACATTTTCCCAAATTGGGATAACAGGAAGGCAGTGCGGTATTTACGGGGGTGGAAAGAATCGAAACGTCCTTCATCCCTTGGTAGTTGATGTCTGGCTGAGCTAATTTACGTCCACAGCTTTTAATACAAATGATTCTGAAACAATTTTGATCAAGGGAAAGTACAAAATGTTCTGATGGGTAGTGGAAGAGAGATAAGGAATCCTTTGCTGACTCCTCTGCATCAACAGTCCTTTGAAATCTCTCACATTACAAAAGAGGAAAAAGAAATCTTTTAAGGCCACTAGTTTGCAGTTGGCAAATGCCTTAGATAGATATGGCTTCAGTATGGGAAAATTGCATGTGGAGCATGTACTCAATCGTGTGTGGTGAATGCATATGCATCTGTGCATGTTTTAGGGTGGTTAAAAAAGAGAGAGATAGTGGAATGCTTTAAAGGGATCTTTCCCAACTGGGGGAGTGCAAATTAAAATGCAATTGAATGTAAGCAAAGGTAATGTGATGCACCACTGGGGCAATCATCATCATCCAGGAAGAGGATCTTGGGGTCATGAAGCACAGCTTGGTGAAAATACTGTGCAGCTGTTGTGAAAACAATAAATTCCACATTGGGGGATCATTAGGAAGAGAAGCAGAAATAAAACTGCCAATACCATAACGCCTTTCTACCAATCTATGCTGTTGCCACACATAGGATGCTGCTGTATACTGAGTCGGACCACTGATCAATCTAGAGCAGTTTTGTCTGCACTGACTGGCAGTAGCACGCCAGCTATCAGGAAGGATTCTTTCCCTAACCCTAACTGGAGATGCCAGGAATCAAACATACAAAGAATGTGCTTTACCGCTGAGCCACAGAAGTGCAAAGGTTACGACATTTGGTGTACTGTTTACAGTTTCAATTGCCACATCTTAAAAAGGGTATTTCAGAGGTGGAAGAAGGGCTGGAGCAACTCTCCTATGAGGAAAAACTATAATGGCTGAGGCTTTTTAGCTTGAAAAAAAAAAGGGTGAGTGATGGCAGACATAATAGAGGTTTATTCACGGGTGGAGAAATTGGATAGGAAGATTCATCCCTCCAGCATTTCATAATACTAGAACATTGGGTCATCCATTGAAGATGAATGGTGGGATATTCAGGAGAGGAAAAAGTATTTCTTCACACAACACATAGTTAAACTATACAAGATGTAAGAATGCTTTATATGGAGAGCAAACAAATTCATGAAGGGCAAAGGTTATCAGGCTACTAATCGTGATTGCTGGTGTTATGAGTGTTTGGAGGGGGCTAGATCCCCCTAAATGTGTTATGAATTTATAAGTTGAAGATCCTCCCCCCCCCATCCTTAGATTTAATAAATGATAGGAATAAATCAATGTTTGGAGTATTAAGGTAAGCTGCCAGACGCTGAATCTAGCAGTGACAAAAATACAGGCCAAACCTGGTTTCTGGGCTTAGGAGGTCACCTGGGAGAAGATGGGGCATCAGCAACAAACAAAGGGAACAGAGTACTGGGTCATTAAGAATGATTGGCAATGCAAACACTCCAGCTCTGAGTGAGAAGCAGAGGCAAAGGCTAATGGCAGCAGACAAAGGCCAGGTTTTGGGTTTGCACTTTAAATGACATAGGCTGAGGGGAGGTCCTTAGAGTCGGTTAGCAGTGGGAAGGCAAAGGAAGGGCAGAACTCCATGGAAGCTGGGGAGGACAAGCTGGAACTAGACACAGAAAGTGGCTTTTTGCTGTCCTTTGAATCCAATGCTTCCCTTAAGGAGGAAGCCAGACCCTCATAGGATGTGAATGCTGGAAATTCCTCCATTGTAGACTCAGGTTGTATACATGTGTAAATAAACCATATACTATAAAGACAATACAGTCTCCACTGTGCCTAATTTCTGAAGGAAACATGAAACCTGGGTAAGCACATGGAACCCGTAGAATCTCATACCACTCTGACATAGGCAATAAGCATCTGAATACAATTGATGGGAAACAGAAGTGGGAGAGTGTTATTCTTTGGGCTTCTGATAGGCACCTGATCAGTCACCGTGAGGAAAAGAATTCTGGACAAGGTATTTGGATGCATTCAGCACGGCTCTTCCTATATTCTGACGCATGGTACTTCTGAGATGCTGTCATAGTGTGCATACCATTTCATGACAGCGCATCTTGGAAGTTTGCTGCAAGGTACTAAATTTTTCTGGTACCATGAGGCAACTGGTGGTGCACGATGATGAAACAGACACATTGTGCTTTCATAAAAGTGTCCGTATACAGTCGTACCTCGGAAGTTGAACGGAATCTGTTCTGGAAGTCCGTTCAACTTCCAAAATGTTCGGAAACCAAAGCGCGGCTTCTGATTGGCTGCAGGAAGCTCCTGCAGCCAATCAGAAGCTGCAGAAGCCCCGTCGGACGTTCGACTTCCAAAAATAGTTCGAAAACCGGAACACTCACTTCTGAGGTTGTGGCTTTTGGGAGGCAAAACGTTCAAGAACTAAGCTGTTCGAAAACCAAGATACCAGAATATTTGTAGGGTATATCTGTGTGTGTTTTTTTTTTTTTTAACAGCAAGGTAATATCTATGAAAGACATTTGTGTGTGTGTGTGTGTGTGTGTGTGTGTGAGAGAGAGAGAGAGAGAGAGAGAGAGAAATAGTCCGCATGGCACGATGATGCAAGGATTGTATCTACATAGGGCACCACTATTTTATGTGTTAACTCCCAGCGTTTTGCTATTTATGTTTTCATCTATCCTAATTTTGAATCTGTTGCTACAACACCAGAACATCTGCAGATGGGAAGGCTCAGGCATATGTACCTAGGATGACCACCTCTCACTTGCAGTAAAGATGCTGGATGTTTCTTGTAAAGACAGGAGGTGAAATCATCTTGAACAAAATGTGATATCTGTTTTTCAACAGGAGGGTATCCTTTCATAGTGACACTTAAAACCTTTAGGTGGCAGCCAAGGGCTATCGTTTTAACTTCCACATGCACTTTAATGCTCATGTTTTCAAAATGGACCTGCATTCAAAAGAGCCAGCAACTAACAATATACTTATAAAATTGATTATTTGATCACCAGCCAAATGCAATCACCTCTGCAGCATGCCCTCATTCATGATGCTGTATTGTTTGTGTTATCCAAGAAAGATACTCAAGACAGCAAGATAGTTAAGAAGGAAGACGCAAACCGTAAACATTTTCTGCTGGGCTGAAGTTGCCTTGTTCTGTCCCTCTCTCTATAAAGCAGTGTAGAAAGCGAAGCCCTGACAAACCCCAGACACGGCTTTTGGAAACCACATGGCCCAGCTATCATGTAGCAACCTCTGATTGGTTGAAACAGTAGCAACAATTAACAGGCTTGTCACGGACTTGCCATTGTTCCCACTACAGTGGTACCTTGGGTTACAAACACCTCAGGTTACAAAAACTTCGGGTTACAGACTCCGCTAACCTGGAAGTAGTACCTCGGGTTAAGAACTTTACCTCAGGATGAGAACAAAAATTGCGTGGCGGTGGCAGAGGGAGGCCCCATTAGTTAAAGTGGTACCTCAGATTAAGAACGGTTTCAGGTTAAGAATGGACCTCCGGAACGAATTAAGTCCGTAACCAGGTACCACTGTATATTGGCTGAGCTCACAATGGTTTCCTTCTATGATGTAAAAAAAGAAAAAGAAAACACCCTCTCCTTGTTGCTCCCCTCCCTCCCCTCATTCCAACATCCCAATTCATAAAATAAACATTTGAAAAAAAGAAAACAACAACACCAACTTGCCAGAAATTAAGAGAATGGATGGAAGACTGATGAAAGCACTTCCTTACTTGGCCTTCCCCCAATCTCAGTGGGCTGGGACGAACAGAGAGACAGCCAATAGCCAAAGCATCTAATACGAAGTGACAGGAAGTACAAGAGACTACTTCACACAGACCACAGTTTAAACTGTGAAATGTGGTTACGGCAAAATGCAGCCATGGCCATAAACTTGGCACTGGCGAGGAAGAGGGAGGCGGGGGAGCGCACTGCCCCTGGCACCACGATCCTGGCGGGGTGCCATCGTGGCTGCCATCGTGGCTGCTCCCCCCCTGCGCTGGGCGCCACGCCCCCGCAAGAGGTGCGCCACACCTCCGGGACGCACACCAGCCACGGCCCCGCCTCCTTTCTGCCCCTGGTGCCGGAGCATGAAGCTCCGCCCCTGAAACTTGGATGGCCTTCAACGAGGGAAAGGAAAAGATCAAAGAGGCTATGCCTGTTGGTGGCTACCTGCCTCAATGGCTATGTTCTAGCTGCACAGTTGGAGGCAGCAGGGGGCTGAATACCGCTTAGGAAAGCGCTTAGGAAAGTGCTCAGGTCCTTACGGGCTTCCCAGAGGCATCTGGTTGAGCTTCATTAACATGTGACCCCAAAATTCTGATTCCACCCCCCAAAACCGATGCCTAAGTTTAGTGAAAGTGGTGCTGTTTTGTGCCGTCAACTCCATGTTTTATGCCACCACCACCCCAAACCGAGTAATTGACAAAGCAAATTAGGGGCACAAGAAAATGACCAAAAATCCAACCTTGTCTGATTGACTCCAAACAGGTGCCAAAGTGGTATGCTGGTTTGGTGTCATTTTGTGCCTCAAACCCTGCTTTCTGTGGCTGAGGTTGGCTAAGTCCCCTTAGCTTAAGTCCCTACTTAGCCAACTTAAGTCCCCATTTAGCCAGCCTTAGCTACGGTAACTAAAGTGCCCACGTAGCCCACTTAATTCCCCACTTAGCCCACAAGTGCCCACTAATGGCACTTATGGGTTGAGCGTTAATTACTCAGTTTGGGGGACGGCACAGAAAGTGGGGCTTGTGGCACAAAATGGCACCAAACTGGCACACCATTCTGGTACTGGTTTGGAGCCAATCGGACAAGGTTGGGTATGGGGCCACTTACCTGTGACCCCGTTTTGAGTGACAATTACTCAGTTTGGGCGCCAGAACAAGACATGGTTTGCGGCACAAAACTAGCACCAGATTTTTTGGTGGTGGTGGTGGGATCTGGAATTTCTCTGTTAGAGAACAGGAGGACTGGAAGAGCCTTTCATCTGATCCAGGAAGGCACTTATTATGCTATTATGCAACAGCACTCCAGCTTAGGGGAGAGATCAGTCCACGTGTTTGTTTTTTAAAAAAGATCATTTCATGCCCATATCTTCATTTCTCTCAGATCATGTAACTTACAATTATGCGATCAGCAATGACATATTTTGCCATCTCCATAAGCAGAGAATATAAAAGTGTATACAGAGGGCTTCATAGGATCAGCATGTGGGCATTAGCCTCTAGTTCCCATTTGCAGATATATGCGGAAATATGCATTTGACCCTTTAATTAGTCCCCCCCCCAAAAAACCCCCGAAGTTTAGAATGATGAATAACTTTTCATTAGTGTACTTACAGTTGCAGGTTAAATATATAATGCAGGTTGGTGTTTCTTAAGTTGCTAAAGGCATCTTACCTAGATTATACTGTTACAGACAAACTACCTTTGAGGCAGGCAGCACCACAACATAACATACCTGCTGTTCCAACTACTAAGACTATACTACGAACTGAACCAACAGAAATAACTGCCATAACTGCCTCAGACGCATGACATCACAGAGTTCTACTGCTCATGCAATTACAGTGGTACCTCAGGTTAAGTACTTAATTCGTTCCGGAGGTCCATTCTTAACCAGAAACTGTTCTTAACCTGAAGCACCACTTTAGCTAATGGGGCCTCCTGCTGCTGCCGTGCCGCTGAAGCCCGATTTCTGTTCTTATCCTGAAGCAAAGTTCTTAACCTCAAGCACTATTTCTGGATTAGCGGTGTAACTTGAAGCGTATGTAACCTGAAGCGTATGCTAACATCCCCCCACAAAACCCCCCATAAAAATATAATAATGGGAGGCAAATTTTAGCCCTTTTCAGGTGTTCATAAATGAACATGCAAAGGGGCATCTGGGGCATTAATATAACACCATTCAGAGACTCAGATATGGCTTAAATGAACATATATGGGCTCTACTCTAAACACCGTTCCAGTTGATGTCCATGGGTTGGAGGCAGATTGTCTACAGCAAGGAAGCATCCTGTTGTCAGAGACTGGCCGGATGGCAAGGAGTGGCAAGAGGAACTAGCTAGTGAACCCCATAGGGAAGCCTCAGAGGAGGAAGGCTCAGAGCCTGGGGAGTGCTGGTGGGACACTGAAGACAGGTCAGAGCTCAGCTCCGTGGCACCTCTTAGGTGGGCACCGTTGCCATTCTAGAAAAAGAGCACTGAGTAAACCCATTGAAATTAATGGGCCTGGCTGAGTGGGTCCATTAATTTCAGTGGGTCTACAACCCTTTGTGTCCTGTTTCACTCTCCTTTACCAACATTCTCCTTTCTTGCCATGAGTTCCATTATGAACTGTCTCATAGTTGTGCCACCTACATCTGGAAATAATCCCCCCAGCCCCTTTACCTCACGTTCAGTATTCTAGTATCAAGCGGATTTTAAAAGCATTCCTCATTGGCTCATGATCTAGTACCTAGCATATGAATTATCATCCTCTGCCTGAGCTTCAGAGACAAAACAGCATCTCGTCAGAAGTCTTTTGTCTCGAGCTGCCAGCTCAATCCCTGATACTCATCTTATCCCTTTTCCTTGCTCTGCTCTGGGAAACACACGGGTGTATCTTGCAGTTATGTAACCCGGGTCCTTGCTTTCTGCGCCTCTCTTGTCAAAGAATGTGCAAGCCAGCAGAAATGTGGAGGGTATCTTCCTTGTGAAAGAATTTGCAGACAGCATTCCTCCTGTTCACAAGAATATTCAGTTTAAAGATCTTAGAGAATGCAAAAGGGGAAAGGGTGTTGGGTAGAGAAGAGCACAGAAATAGCGCAGGTTCTGATAGCCCATCTGTAAAAACTCCCCCCACTCCAACAATGTCAGATGTTGGACTTGAAGAGTTGGCGCAGAAAACAAAAGCTTCATTACCTCCAGATGAAGCAGATGCTGAGTCTTTTCTTAGACGATTACAAGAGTGTTTGGGCTCTGAAGCAATAATGCATTAATAGTGGAAGTAAAGCGCTGAGGTGTCGTCATCCGAGCTGCTTTGATAAGGCTTTATAAAACCTCTGAGAAAGGCCCTCATTGTGCTTTCAAGTTTAAAACAAGACTGTTAAAAGGTAGATTGCACAACACAGGAAGGATGACTGTGATCCAGTGACTTTAAGGTTCCGGGAATTGTTCAGTGAAGAGTGAAGTGGCTCATTTATATACAAAGCTTCTAAAAGATCACCAGGGATCATAGCTCTCCCTCCCAAACCCTAGTGTGCCTGGAGGACAATGATGCAGCAAAAGGTCATGGTTTAAATGTGTAGCCTTTGTATTTTTTTAAATTTAATATTAAAAGTGTACAGGAGTGAGGGGTCATTTTCATTGGGACCATGGTGCATGGGGAGTAGAGAATTATTCCTTCCTTCCTCAGCCATGAAAAATAGAGACTGTGTTGGTTCCAAGAGCTTATCTACTGGTAAAGGTTCGATTAGGGATGGGCAAACATGTTCATTTTGGATTATCTTGGTTTTTCATATTTCCAAACTTAAATTCAGTTCTCCACATCAGTTTAGTTTTTTTTTTAAATGTCCTCATGAAAATCCACCCACATTTTAGTTCAAATTCCTCATAATATTTTCGCACACAAGTTTGCTTAATATACACATTTTTGCAAAATAATTTCCCCATATATATTGCATAGTCATACATTAATTTCAGTAATATCTGCCTTTATAGGCACATTTTACCTTATTATATGCATTTTTGTGCCCATTACTTGGCTAGAGAAGTGCATTGCAAAATTCAGAGATGTGCAAATTTTGAAGAATGGCTGTGTTTCGGTCCATTTTGGAAAATGCAAATCAGGCAAGTTCGCCTTAGTATAGGAAACAAAACAAATTTCTGCCCTGTTCCTAGGTTGCATTACATAATCAGGGACCATCACTAACCCTCATGTAACATGCTGGGGTGATATTGAAGCATTGAAATGGCATTGCTTATAAATGCATAGTGGGTGGGTGGGGAAAATTTTCAGTGGGACCACAGTGCATGGGTTGGTTCAACCTCATGAAAAGTAGCATTAGGAAGGGGAAAAAACCCTATCCATTGTCTGCCCTCAAAATGGCACCTCTGAATGCATGATACATCAGTCTGCTTGCAACAGGCCACTGTATTAATTTATTCCATTTATATCCCGCCCTTTCCTCCGAGGATGGTGTACATGGCCCCTCCTCCTCATTTAATTTCCCACAACAACCGTATGAGAAGGTTAGGCTGAGAAGCAGTGAGTTTCATTGCCAAGTGGGAATTTGAACCCAGGTCTCCCAGGTCACTCTAACCACCTCACCACACTGGTTCTGCTTCCACACTTAACATGTAAACATGTAAATCAGCGGTTCTCAACCTGTGGGTCCCCAGATATTGTTGGACTACAACTCCCATCATCCCTCAGCTAGGCGTGAAGGGAGTTGTAGTTCAACAACATCTGGGGACCCACAGATTGAGAAAGGCTGATGTAAATAAATGAACCTTTCATTCAGAGGATGAAATAATGTCAGATTTTATCCCTGCTGCTACAGTGATCTGGGCGAACAAATGGAAGCACCATATATGAATGTCAAGGAGAAGAAAAGTCAAAGATTTGTCGCCCCCCTTCAAAAAAACAAACAAAAAAAATCCAGAAGGAGCTATGTTTTCAAAATATAAGGGGTTTTTTATGTGTGGGAAAAAACCCCATCTTCTTTCTCCATGGGAGCAAACAGGTTGCTATGGAGACTGACTGGCGCAGAGGCAAAATATAGACGGATAGAATCTCCCCAGAGCAATGACTTGAGCACATGGCATACGTCAACTATTCACACTGAAGAGGAACGAACCATAAATGCCTCCTTTTAGATAATTCTTGTCTCCAAGATATAAAAGAGTATAGTTTATGGACATCTATTATAAGAATAAGGCCTGGTATCTTTTAAGTCCCATTGGTGGCATGCTAAGAACCCAAGTTTTATATCTTTTGCTGATGGCTTTGTCAACATTTGAAGAACAGTTATTTATTATTACACAACAGGTAGTAATCCTTCTGTATTTACCAGGAGCTGATGCAGCAGTGATACTGCAGCAGTGATTCCTTCTCATGAGTGGTATGGTGGGAATCCACAGAAATTTTTCCGGGGCAGAAGGGCACTGGCGGGGGAAAGTAAAATGCAGAAAGCGGAGAGCAGGTGAGCAGATGAGTCTCTCTCTCTCTCTCTCTCTCTCTCTCTCTCTCACACACACACACACACACACACATACCTACTCACAAACACTCAGGTTCCACACATCTTAGAAACTTTCTTAAAAATGAAAGCTGGGAATCTGGGGATTATGGTTCCTTGGGGTGGGCTGTCTCTTTGCTCCCCACCAGGATTTCCAAGGGTGGTGCTTGATCACCTTTTGCTCACAACTATCAGGTCTGTTTGTTTTTAATCCACCATTTGGAAGTGGTCGTTAAAAGGTAGGGGCAGGTGACTCTGTCAGTTATAGGTTCTCCAAATTTCTATTTTCCCCCAAAATTAAATTCAGTGTTCCATATTCTCACATCTGTTTATGATTTTTTTTTAATCTTCATGAAAATTCATCAGCATTTTAGGATGAGTTTCTTTTAACGTACACATTTGTATGCAATTTTGCCGCGTATACTCAGTTTTGCAGAGAGATTCCCCCAAATATAATGCATTTTGGCACACATTATTCCAGTATATACACATTTTTCTACCCATTACTTCCTTGGAGAACTGCAGTGTAAAAGTATGAGACTTTCAAAGGATGGCTGTGCTTCTGCTGCACATATAGTTTCCGAAAGAGTGAGTTAGGAAGGTTTGCTTTAAAATGTGAACTGATTTATTCTTCCATTCCTGTTGAAAGATCCATAAAATCATAAAAATAAAGAGTTTTCTGTAATCCATGGAATGAAGTAATCTTGGGAGAGTCTGTTACTGATTGCTATGAGATTCAAAGATGGCCTGAATAATTTACCTCTCTAAAGTCCTTCTTGGGTGATGCATTTTTCTGCTGAACTTTTTTCAAGCGGTTCATAAAAACTAGCTTGGCATGTGAATGAGTAAGAATACTGCAGTGATAGTATGAGATGTGAGGATCAGTAAGGAAGGGGAAAGCACTGTAAATAGTAAAGATAAATGCACATCCTGGACTACTATTCCAGTGATGCCCCCTAGAAATATAAAACCACAAAAGGTCTAACCACAATTTAGCATACTTTGAACTTTTCTGACATGAAAAATTACAGCCGATGATACTGAATCATTTCGAGAAACATTACAGTAATATATTAACATATAAAGGCAGCAGGAGGTAATGTGAAGCCAGTAATTTTTAAAGGTTATATTGATGCCTACTAAAGACTACTGGAATGACTAATGACTGCCATGATAATGGCATCTGATAGTTCTTAAATCGTACCAGTTTGGATGGAGAACCTGTGGTCCTCTAGATTTTATTGGACTACATATCCCATCATCTCTGACCTTTAGCCACGCTGACTGTGACTGATGGGAGTTTGAGTCGAACAACATCTAGGGGGACACATGTTCTACATTCCCAGATTAGGGGACAGCTGGCCAAACCATTGAACAAGTGGGATTATTGGGTAAGGTAGAAGTGGGGACTCTCTAGCCCACAACTTAATTGGGCCTGGACAGTTTTCTAATTTGATTTGCAGGCATCACTGATCATCTGAATTTGCAAAGCCCTGGGGCCTTCAAGCAGGCAGCTGATATTTGGTGCTTGCAAAGCCCAGTTCCTTGGCCTGTGTAGTTTACTTTCAAAATGCATGAGCAGTGAAAAATGCTTCACCTGACATCATGGACCCTTTCCTCTGACAAAATGGTGCACTCGGGTTGGTGGGGATCAGGATCCAGCCTACTGGTCAGATCCAGTTCTCCAGCCCTGGTGTAAGGCACTTATTTGGCAAGACAAATAAGGAGCCAGTGGTGCCAAAATGGTGAGGAGTTTACTTCAAGGCTGGTTCCAGATTTGAGGGGAACCTTGAGTGTCATCTTGTGGCTATTCTTCACATTGGTAGGCCCTGGCAAGCTGACTTTGCCCCAGCTGCAGCGAGACAATTAGCCTAGAAGGCATGAAGCCACCGTTGCAGTTCCCACAATGCTTTGGAGCAATGCACATTTGGTGGCATCGCAGGAGGTTAAAATGGTGGCTCCGCGCTAGCTGGCCCAGAGAGCTTAGGGCAACTCCAGATCTGAGGGGGCAGGTTGTCAGGTATACATTGCTTCTTTTCAGCTAGGCCTTTGGTTGTGATGGCGGGAAGTAGAAAGGCTATTGAATAGGCAAAGAAGGAGGGAGAATCTCAGCCATGGGAAAGAAGGAAGGAGACGGTCTTTGGGGACTGAGAACAGTGGGAACATGATTAGGACAGAGAGCTAATGGATTGTATCCAATGTTAGTTATACCCATTGAAATTAATGGACACACAGCTAACTTAGGTTCACTCATTTCAATGGGTCCACTGTAAGTAGAACATAGTTGGCTGCAACCCACAGTCCTGTGCAAGGTACTCTGATAGAAGGGTTCTAGTATAGTAATTAAACTCTAAAAGGTTTCTAATGAGCCGCCAGCATATCTTTTCTAAAGTTGTGGAAGTTATAATCATCAGTGGTGATAATTGATCTGGACAATGTGTCCAATTTTGGGTACCACATCACAAAAAGGTTCCCCCCTTTTCTTTCTTTCTTTCTTTCTTTCTTTCTTTCTTTCTTTCTTTCTTTCTTTTTACAACGCAGATATTATTTGGAGATGAGAAAGCCATGATAATGTGCTTAGAAGAAAAGCCATAAAGAGCCTGGCCTGGATGTGTCCAGTCTGGAGAAAATAAGATGAAGCACTTACTTACTTACTTATTTTATTTATTTATTTCCAAACTTTAAGCATTTGAAATGCTGACCAGAATTTGTAGCCACGATCCAGAGCTTCTGGGCACTGTGATGTACACAGAGAGTGACTGCCCATTCATCTCAATGGAGATATCATCCATCACACACACACACACACACAGAGAGAGAGAGAGAGAGAGAGAGAGAAATCCATGTACTCATCTGCTACTTCTATTGACAGAAAGGTGTGTGCCAAACTTACTATTCAAAGAAGAACTCACTCAGCTGTGGCAAACGAGTTTAGTTTGCAGTAGCCAAAATTGAGGATGAACATCAGGTTGGACGCAAGCTTGTTAATTGTAATAAAAGTCTGGCAATAGAACAAGTTGTCTAGGGAAGTTGTGGAATTTATACCGCTGCAAATTTAGTTAGAGAAAAGAGATTACCTAAGCAGAAGCAAGGATGATTTCAATGCAGAGCTTGCTTCCTCAAGAGAAGAGATTGGCCTACATGACCCATGCAATCCTTTCTCATTCTAAATGGCAGAGAATACACCCGCTTTGCCTGTGTGTTGGTAGTGACCCTAGATATGAATCCCTCTTGGAATCAGACACAGCCACCACATTTACTGGGAATTTCAATGTCCATCTGGATTAGCTGTGTGCATTGAACTCCATTTCTAAATCAAGGCATTTGACTTTAATTTGAAGTGGAAAGTAAGGGAAATAGAGATCAAAGATGCCTTTAAAGCTTGAACAACTGGGCAATCCTCATCTGGACCTCATAAAAACATGCCTATTCTAGTTTCTAAACACATCAAGAAATGTACATCAAAAAAGTACACATAAACTATCTGTGCAACACCTATATTGTCCATTTATGGCTTCTTTCAGATAGCAGTATTTCACCACAACAAATTAGCTGGCCACTTTATATGTATATAAATAGACCTTGCCCTAGAAATGAAACGAATCTTGTTACATTTTAAAGCCTCCTGAATTAGTTTTATTGTTCAGGGGTTTATTATTTGAGTTAGGAATATGGAAACTAATTGTATCCGTTATTAAGTGGGTATCTTTGGCATTTCTTTTTTTAAAAAAGAGATAAATTTTAAGGTGTCAGAAATGATTTTTCAAGTAAAGAATGCATGGCTGTTTTTTGGGAATCAGCAACTCCTTATTTGCTATTTCACACTTCTGCCATTATCCTTAACTATTATATCTATCATCTATCTATCTATCATCTATCTATCTATCTATCTATCTATCTATCTATCTATCTATATCTATATCTACACATACACATACACAAATCCACATGACGGAGTGAGCTCCCATTGCTCTGTCCCAGCTCCTGCCAACCTAGCAGTCTGAAAGCAAGCCAGTGCAAGTAGATAAATAGGTACCGCTGCAGCAGGAAGGTAAATGGTGTTTCTATGCGTTCTGGTTTCCATCATGGTGTTCCGTTGCACCAGAAGCGGTTCAGTCATAATGCCCACATGACCTGGAAAGCTGTCTGTGGACAAACGCCAGCTCCCTCAGCCTGAAAGAGATGAGTGCCGCAACCCCATAGTTGCCTTTGACTGGACTTAACCGTTCAGGGGTCCTTTACCTTTTACCTTTACAAACACACACACACACACATTGAGAGAGAGAGAGAGAGAGAGAGAGAGAGAGAGAGAGAGAGAGAGATTAGGAGGGGGTGCTGGTTTAAGAATATGGTTGTGAACATGTCAACATAAGAAAACCCACCGGCTTATATCAAATGCCTATCTAGTCTGGTATTCCGTTGCACAAAGTGACCAGTGAGATGTCTTTGGAAGCCCAGAAGCAGAACCTGAGGGAAATTGGCTTCTCCCTGTTGTGTTCCCCAGCAATTGGCATTCAAATGCGTATTTGGGACACTGTGTGTATAACTTGTGCAAATCATTCGCAAATGATTCTGGGCATGAATTCTACATCGTCTTCAGCCCTTAGGATAAGATCTCCCATCTATTAATTTTGATGTGATTTTATTTTTTAACTAGTCAGCTTGAAATATAACTGGGGAATATGTCTGTGCTTGTTAACCTGCCAAATGGAAAGGATGACGTATGGTTTTATCATCAGCTTGTAAAAACAACAAAAGCTCACTTTTCAGTCTATTTTAGATGGCGATAAAGAGTTCTCAGGGTGCTCTACGTTTTGCACGTGGAAATTCCCTTCACAAAGTTGTAAGCCAAAGACTAAAAATTAAGGTCAAGTATGGGTTCAGCACTTTTGTTATTAAGCACAGTCAGGCAGCTCTTCAAAACAAAAGTGCTGAACCCAGACTTTTCCATTCTAGATTTCATGTTCTGCACTCAGTAAACCCAGTGGTTCCAGAAATAGAGCCTTGTGGATACATAGCAGCTCTTGACAGTTCTATATAATTGCACCATATCTGAGTTTTAAAAAAATATCTAGCATAGAGCAATGGTTCAAAAAAAGAACAAAGAACTGTGAAACTATTCCCTGATTCAAATGTCACTTCAGCCATGACCTGACTAGAAGTCCTTAGGAAATCACAAACTTTGAGGCTGAACTCCCATCTATAAAACGGGGATACTCATGCTGGTCTGCCTTAATCAGTGCTTTTCTTCTGAGGGGATGCAGGGGTACGCATACCCCTAAACATTTTGTGAATCTAAGTTTGGCCTTATTGAGGGGCAGTATTTCAATATGTGTAGGAAAATGAGAGTACCCCCTAAACATTTTTTTTTAATATAGAAAAAAAGCACTGGCCTTAATAATATATACAGTGGTACCTTGGATTACAGATGCTTCAGGTTACAGACGCTTCAGGTTACAGACGCTTCAGGTTACAGACTCCATTAACCCAGAAATAGTACCTCGGGTTAAGAACTTTGCTTCAGGATGAGAACAGAAATCGTGCTCCGGCGGCGCGGCAGCAGCAGGAGGCCCCATTAGCTAAAGTGGTGCTTCAGGTTAAGAACAGTTTCAGGTTAAGAACGGATCTCCAGAACTAATTAAGTTCTTAACCCGAGGTACCACTGTACATTACTGTTAATTAAATTATTTGCAGGATTGTTGAAAGGATCACTGCAGGGAATGGGAATTTATGGCCCTCTACAGGTTGCTGGATTCCAGCTATCATAAGCCCTCAACCAGCATGGTTAATGGTCAAAGACTATGGGAGTTGTAGTGTAAGAACATCTGCATAGCCGCAGGCTTCCCATCCCTGGATTACTGAGGCGATGCACTGATTCGAGCATTTCATAACAAGTGCTGATCTGTGTTTAGGGACCATGGGCATGACACCCTCAACAAACCTGGAAGAGGGGAGACATGCAAACTGTCCATTTCCCATCTGACCACCTTGAACACCTTCTGCAAAGTGGGAGGGGTAGCCCTGTTAAGACAATGGGTCTTCTGCTGCTCTGGGGGCACTCGCAAATGCTCTGCCTTGCCATCCTCTGGAGCCAGCCTTGATCATTAATCATAGAATCATAGAACTGTAGAGTTGGAAGGGATCCTGAGGGTCATCTAGTCCAGCCCCCAGCCATGCAAGATCCCAATGCAGGGATCAAACCTGCAACCTTGCCATTGTTAATACTACAATCTAACCAACTGAGCTATCCAGGCTGTTGAATATAACATAATTATGTTCCCTTTTACCCTGCATGCATATGTTTTATTCCCATTATTTCAGATATAATTTTATTGAGCTTTATTTTTATGTGGTTTGAACCAAGTAAATAAAAAATTATCTAGGTATAAAAGGCAGCTAGTGCAGATTGAGCTGACTGATCACTGAAATCTTATACATGTCTGTTGTTGTTTAGTTGTTTAGTCGTGTCCGACTCTTCGTGACCCCATGGACCAGAGCACGCCAGGCACTCCTGTCTTCCACTGCCTTCCGCAGTTTAGTCAAACTCATGCTGGTAGCTTTGAGAACACTGTCCAACCATCTCGTCCTCTGTCGTCCCCTTCTCCTTGTGCCCTCAATCTTTCCCAGCATCAGGGTCTTTTCTAGGGAGTCTTCTCTTCTCATGAGGTGGCCAAAGTATTGGAGCCTCAGCTTCAGGATTTGTCCTTCCAGTGAGCACTCAGGGCTGATTTCCTTTAGAATGGATAGGTTTGATCTTCTTGCAGTCCATGGGACTCTCAAGAGTCTCCTCCAGCATCATAATTCAAAAGCATCAATTCTTCGGCGCTCAGCCTTCTTTATGGTCCAGCTCTCACTTCCATACATTACTACTGGGAAAACCATAGTTTTAACAATACGGACCTTTGTCGGCAAGGCGAAGTCTCTGCTTTTTAAGATGCTGTCTAGGTTTGTCATTGCTTTTCTCCCAAGAAGCAGGCATCTTTTAATTTCGTGACTGCTGTCACCATCTGCAGTGATCATGGAACCCAAGAAAGTAAAATCTCTCACTCCATTTCTTCTCCTTATATTTGCCAGAAGGTGATGGGACCAGTGGTCATGATCTTAGTTTTTTTGATGTTGAGCTTCAGACCAAATTTTGTGCTCTCCTCTTTCAACTTCATTAAAAGGTTTTTTAATTCCTCCTCACTTTCTGCCATCAAGGTTGTGACATCTACATATCTGAGGTTGTTGATATTTCTTCCGGCAATCTTAATTCTGGTTTGGGATTCATCCAGTCTAGCCATTCGCATGATGAATTCTGCATATAAGTTAAATAGGCAGGGAGACAATATACAGCCTTGTCATACTCCTTTCCCAATTTTGAACCAATCAGTTGTTCCATATCCAGTTGTTCCATATACATGTCTACTCAGAAGTACGTCCTGCTGATTTCGATGAGGATTACTCCCAGGTAAGTCATTACTGTATTGAAGCCACAGTTTGCCAGCAACAGAGAAGGCATTTAATTGTGTGTGTGTGTGTGTGTATGTGTGTGGTAGGATTTAGGCCAGTAACAGAGATCAAGAACATCATGCTGCTCCAAGATGGTGAAAACCGCAAAACATGGACTGATAATGTGTGAGAAAAAATGAAGCATGCAAGAATATAAAAAGCAAAGTGTTCCGAGAGAATCTGGCTGTAGAAACGCAGTGACAGAGGAGATCAGGTGACTCAAGCGTTCCCAAACTGCCTTCCTAAATCAAGCATTTTAATATTCCCAGTGGCACCCACAAATTGAAAAATCAGCTTCAGTCTCTCTGCTGTACTTTGAAACGGATTAGCCCAGGTTGATCCCTAACTATACTATACGACAACCAATTCCACATGAGAAGAATGCATTTATTATGACTGTGATGATAGATCCAACCTCAGTGGTATTCGTAGTCAGCAGTCCCAAGAGGACCATTGCCTTAATGTTTGGACCCAGATTGTCTTCTGAAGTTACTCCTTGCATTAACCATGCCAGAATTTGTGTGTGTATTCCACAAAGCTAGGTACTGATTTCCCTCTAAATTGCAGCTTTGACCATCTGTTAAACATCTATCATAAGGCCCGTGCAACTGAGGCAGATGAAGCAGGTGTATTGCTCAAGGTACAAATAATTCTGGCACAATTATGTTCCAGGGAGAGTTGAAGCTGAACAGTTGCAGGCTCCCTTGGTACAATGTAAATCACCTTCCATCCATCTAATGAAAGGTGTGTGTGTGTGTGTGTGTGCTGGAAAGTTGGGAAGAGTAGACTTTTCCTGGATTTTGGCAGGCTAGTCCTGCGAAAGTTCTGACATATCTAACCAGCAGCACCTATTCAGAACAACTCTTCTTGGCTTCTATCAGAGCAAAGACTGTCAATGTGGTTACTGGATCCCACCATCCAGTATTAAATGTGAGTGGAGGGAAGTCTGGTTAATACAGTGAAGTCTGTACTGCCATGTTCTGCCCAAACAGAGGCCCCTGGAAGTCTGAACCAGTAAGTCAATGCCATCTTTCGTTTACCTGTGTTTTGACTAGCATTCTTTTCCCTGTTGATACTGTTAAATGGTCACCCTATCTTTATCTACAGGCACTGTCTGCAGACTGTCAGTATTTTGCAGGACAGATTCAACCACATAACAAAACTTTAGGTTTGCACGTAAAAATTGGATTAAAGAGCTCTGTCATGTCATGCAGCTGTTGTGCACCCCCACAATCTCCAACCAGGGATCCCAGCACTTACCTAGGGTTCACTTTCCGTGGATTTGGTGGACCCAGCCTCCCACGTTCTGCTCCTGCCATATTTTTGACCTCACCACTCCCAGAACACTAAGGACAGATTGGCATCATCAAGGGAGCTTTCTGTCTCTGAACTACGAACAGTTTTCCAGAAAAGGATCCCATTCAGAAATCTTTTAGGAGGCACAATGGGGCCAATATTCTTTTTTTTTTTACTTTCTCACAACAAAACACATGAGTTTTGTATGGGGGAGGGAACTAGTGTAACACAAGCATTTTAGTAACATAATCTCTCTCTTTTTTGGAACTGTGACTATTTTTTTTTTTAAATTTTGCTTTATTGAACGGCTGATTTATTTCATTTCAAACATCCAACAATTATATTTTCAGTCAGACCCTGAAGGACCTTAAGTAATGCTAGCAAGCCTGGTGTAAAAATGGATTTCTACTCAGTGACGTCACAGCTCCACTTAGCCTCTAGGATTTCTGTCAAAACAAATACATCTTCCTCTCCCATACTTCTCCCCCCCCCCCTTGCAGGGTTTACACTTCCTTCTTTGACAATCATTTTTTAAAATGCCAGTGATAATTTTTCTCTGTCTGGTATTAAATTCCCTGAAATGATTCCCTAAAACTATTCATGCCTTTTACAGAAAATTCAGTGGATCCAATTAGTTATTTCTCAGCCTTTGTTTCGAAGATGTGATTAATGTCACCGAAAAATAAACATGTGCACAGCAACTAGTTTTAATTCACGGAGAAAATTTTAAGAGGTGCCTTCTCTCTTAGCAACATTTCCAAAGTCAATAGCGTTCAGCGGATCTGGACCTGAGCTTCTTGACTGAGGCTAGGTGTAAGCAGCTTAAAACAACAGATATCAATTCTTCCTGCTGAATTCCAGTTTCATTTGCATGTTGCTGTACACACCAGTGGGGATGCATGCAATGTGCATTAGCTGTTTGGTTTCCCCGCACCTGCAACTGTCCCCTCCAACTCCTCTTCACAAAGCTACCACCTGCACATGTGCAACAGCTACCTCAAATCTACACACCTCAGCTGAAGTTGAATGCGGCTTACGTTTTCCAATCAGAAGGAAGCTGGTTTGAGGGGAAAACATCAATCAGTAGCATTTCTCAAGAAACTACAGCATGGGTAGGCAAACTAAGGCCTGGGGGCCAGATCCAGCTCAATCGCCTTCTAAATCCGGCCCGCGGACAGTCTGGGAATCAGCGTGTTTTTACATGAGTAGAATGTGTCCTTTTATTTAAAATGCATCTCTGGGTTATTTGTGGGGCCTGCCCGGTGTTTTTACATGAGTACAATATGTCCTTTTATTTAAAATGCACCTCTGGGTTATTTGTGGGGGGTTCATCCCTGTCCCCAAAATAGCCCGGCCCCCCATAAGGTCTGAGGGACAGTGGACCGGCCCCCTGCCGAAAAAGTTTGCTGACCCCTGAACTACGGGATAGATACGGATTGTGGCCAGTACACTGGAGCCAGAGTACATGGTAATATGTACAGAGTCAGAGCCTTGGTGGGAGGAGTGTGGGGAGGGGAGTGAGAATCTCTCTCCATAGTTAATAAGACCCTGTTTCACACAGATAAAGCAATTATTTTGTAACAGTTTTGAATATGCACTCTGGGCTTGTTGCCAGCCCACTGCCTAATATAAATCAGTGCTGCTCCACTAACTTCATGACCTACATACAGATGTGCAGTTACTTCCGTCCTTGAATCACATCATCTTAATATCAAGCAGCTCTGTACATTTAGTTTAGCTTTAAAAAAAGGTGTGTCAAGTTAGGGAACTACAGAGAGGTTGGTAATGAGGGTACAACAAGTGGGACCGCCAACAAAATGTTGTAGTATATCTTCACCTCCTAACAGGTGCACTCCTCTTCAGGATATCAGACATACAGCCATGGCTTTCTCCTTGATATGATAGTATAGTATAAGCTGTCAGAAGCTCAGTCATTCACATTTAGGATCAACAGTGGTGTATTATTTAGAACAATTGAGGCTTCAGAGATTTTATGGCTAAGGTATGAATCCCTAGTAAGCACTCTCTCTGTGTCTCTTTCTCTTTCAATACTCCAAGATTTTTTTAGTTTGCCATAGTTAGGTAGAAAGTGTCTATGATAACTTGATTTTGGGATATGTGTTTTAAATAATTTTTGGAATTCTTTAAGTTAACCCTTTACAGAACGTTCCAATTTCTTTTTTGCAAGTTATATTTTTAAGAGCCACTGTATTAGTGTTGTCTGTTGTTTAGAACTCCTGAAGATGGGTCTTTTTTATTTGGAAATGTGTTGAGCTACAATGAAGAGTTCTGCATTACCGAGCACTGGAGCCTGTTCTCCTTTGTTCATTTGTTCCCCTCCCCTTTCCCCCTGTGCAGAGAGGTTCAAGCAGGACAGTTCACCCCACATCTCGCAGGTTTTCTGATCCAGTGGAGAAGCAACACCCCACTCTCCCAATGACCACCGACCATATTCAGGGACATTTTC